CTCCATCCACAAGCAGACAGCCTAGCTATGGCCCAAGAGCACTGAGTTGGACCAGGAGCACTGGAGAAAATGGAGGCTTAACTCTATAAACAGCAAAGGAGAGAGAAGGAACTAGCTGTGGGCTGCTCCTTCTCAAAAGTAAATATAACAGCACTGGGCGTGGGACAGCTTTAAACTGGTCACAATTATTAATGAAGCTGGGACAGAGATTGGCACTAGTACAAATATTAATGAAGTATGCAGAAAAGGACTTGGAAACAGCAGCTGTTTCTCATGCTTGTATAGTTCCTGTAACCACTTTAGCCAGCAGGGGTAGGGGACAGAGATCCTGACTGCAGCTTTCCTCCCGGTTTTGTCAGCAACTTTGCTCTCCAGCTCTGTCCAAGGGTGATGTTTCCCTTAATGCAGAGCAGACGTGCAGGGCAGGCCAGGGTGGCCTTGGCCTTTGGCCACCCAGAGTAACACTTCAGCGCCACAGCTGCACTGCCACTGGAGCAGGAACTTCAACACTAAATGTCCCTCTTTCCAGTAAAAGATAAGGAAAGGAAAAACAAAGAAAAAAAAAAAAGGAAAAGGAAAAAATATAAAAATAAAATTTGCTAAAAATAAAATTCTTGTTGTTACTGACTGTGCTGGTCCAGGGTCTTGTGTATCATTCTATGAGCTAGCAAGGGCTGGGAGGAACCACTCGTGAAAACAAGAAGACATACAGTAAAGATGAGGTCCAGCACAAACACAGCTATTCTTCTCTGTGCTGTGCCCACAGCCATGTGAAGTGTATCCTGTAGCCAGTATAGAGCAACAGGAACCAGGGAGTGAAGTGTGCAGGACAGAGGATATTGCATTCCCTTGCTAAGGGAAAACCTACCTTCTGGGGCTCTCCAAGCGGCTTCTGCCTGCCCCATACAGCTGTGTTGTAGCGCGGGAGTAACGATAGGCACACCAGTGTTGATCGTGCTGCTCTTTTTCGTCTTAAAGCTCATGTTCTTCTCTTCTAAATTCGGGTTACCCTTTGGTACTATAATTTCCCCTTACCCATCATGAGTCAGGAGGGACTCATAAACTACTTCTAAGCTGTGTAAATTTCTATCAGTACAAACTACTGATCACTGCCAAGAAATAGACTGAGTGTCTCAGGACATGCAGACTTTTTTTTTATTACATACGCGGGGAAATAGAAGGGAACAAGCAGATAGGATCAAAGTCCTCTCCCTAAAGCAAGAGAAAGCCTCACTGCCCTTATCTCAATCACAGCATCAGCAAGTTTCTCTGACTAATTCCTTTGCCATTCATTACTCCCATGCCCAGCAGACAAAAAACACCTGGCACAGTGCTGATGATGACTACCACCAGTTCCTGAGAGGACGACTATTTTTATTGGCTGCCTTAAATATTTACCGTTTTCATGAAAGTTTTTCTTTTTCTGAAGTTGGTGCTCCAAAGAAAAAAAACAAAAACAAACTTTGAGCTAACAGACATGTATTTTTCATGAGTTCCAATTTTTGCCTAACACTTACTTATCAAAGCAGCCGTGATCTGCTCAAAGAAACTCTAAATTTTTTGTGTAGGTAGAACTACAGAGCCTAAAACAAGGAGAAAAGTAGATGCCAATTTCCTATACCACAATTCTGAGCTCTGGCTCTGTTGAGCAGATAAATCCAGTTGTAGATGAACAAACATAGTCTGTTGACTGCTGCAGATATACTGAATGAGAGGTTAAATGAGTCAAGCTTTTATTATGATGAAGGCTTAAAATATCCAAATGGTATGCTCTCAGGAAAAGTGTGTTGGCTCTCATTTTATTTCCAAGATATTTCAGCATGAAAGAAAACAAATGTTACCGCATTTCTTACACGAATTCCTTTCTTTCCTCGTATAATTCTGCATATAAAAGAGCTCTAAGAATAGTAAGCATTGTAACTCCTAAAATCCAAAAAGTTTGAGATAAGAAAGGATATTTTTTGCTGTCACTCCTAAACATTGTTATCAACTGGGTGTTTAGATGTAACTGTTGTTGGTATGTGTGTAATTGAAAGCGCTTTTACAAAGAAGCCTACCAGACTTCTGTATATACATATGGATCTATATGGTGTAAGTAGTGTTATCTGTACCACATAGACATTCAGATGGCATAAGAATGGGGAGTTTTGAATCTCTCCATTTATTTATTCCTGATCTAATGGGATTTAAACTTTGAAGGAGATTGCTGAACTTTGAGACTGTGCAGGATATCAGGTCTTGAGCCATCTTGTAGGCTTCAAACTCAAAAATCTGCAAAACTTCGAGTTCTGTTTCCAGGATTCGAATGCTGAATTCTGGTCCTTCCTCACCCCTCTGTCTGCATTGGCTCTCAGCTACAACTTGCATTAACTTGCATTCATTTTTTCCTCTTTTTCCCTTTCTGCTTTTTCACTGCTCACTCCTCTCTCTTAAAATACAAATAGTTAAATAGAACTGTTCTTATCATCTTTAAAGGAAAATGGGAAGTAATTCTTTTTGTTTGTTTTTTTTTACAAAATTTTTATTTAAAAAATCCTCAACATTATGACTAAACTCAAAGATAACTATCTGACATCAGGAGTCACTTGGAATTACTCGCATGACACAATTTGCGTAACCTTGAATTAATTTTTGTTGTGCTTCTTTCAAATTAATTATGTTACACACATGAGACTCCTCCTGGCACTTTGTTAACATCTGGATCCCTTTGTTATGCATTTTACCCAGAAGTCTGCATGCTTTTTTGGACCAAGTGATTATTTCCCTGGATAAGTTTCTACTGAGGTGAATTTTGATTGTTTCTCTCATTATTTTTTCCCTTCTCACTACTGGGAAAAATTTATTTAACTCTTACGTAAATATAAGAGGAGTATTAAGTATTATTAAACTTCTGCTAGTTGTACTTGGAAAAAAGGTGCCAAGGAATTATAACTGCAGCTTTGTTAAGAAAGGCCAGTGGTTGGTTTGAACAACCTGAACAAAGTCTTGCTGTCCTACTTTTTCTTCTCAGATTTAAGTTCTTATTCTGTGGCCTATTTTTATCATTTCACATTGATGAGAGATGGATGATACGAAGCTTGATGGAGATCTCTTTTCCAGTACAAATCAAATTTTTCTTCCATCTACAACCAGAAAATGTTTTTCAAATCAAACACTGTGTGTATGAGTTCTAGCTTATGTTGGGAAACATGAAGAAGTTGTTTTTGACACAGGGACAGAAAAATATGCAAATAATGCAGTTACTGGAGTTTAATCAGTATCCCTCCTTTCGGTCATTCTCATCCATTAGCTTAGAGCTATGACGTTTTAGGAGTCAGGTTGGGTTGTGCCAATAGTTTCCTATATTCCTTAACTGTTTCATATTCTAACAAATTTTAAGAAGACATTTTTAGAAGAAACAACTTCAGTGATTGCACTCTCAGGGATTGCAAGGGATCACTATTGAAGCAAGTTGCAGATAAAGAGATTCTGGATCCTGGAAGCCTGTTTAATCCCAATACACTGGCTTCATTCTCAGACATACGGTAGTATGGAAGCCACCAGATAGATCAAACACTTGATTAACTGTCAAAGATTTCCAGGAAAGAAAAGTGACTTCCAAGTAGTGTTGCTGTTTACATTTTATGCAATTTAAAACAGTTGAAAAAGAAAGGGAGAAAGCCCCACTATCCTACTGTGATTGCCTAGAGAAGCATTGTGTTCTGTAAATAACTTCAGCTTCTCAGATATTGTATTCTACCCCTGGCAGCAGTTACACTTACAAAAGAATGAAAATACTTACTTAAGTGCAAAAGCCTGTTTAAAAAGTTTAAAATGGTTAAAAAATTGTTAACCATTTCTTTCAAGGCATTTAATAATGCCCAACTGTCCACTGAAGTCAAACTACCACTGAATTAAATCAATGTAGTCTGTTTGTGGATGCAAAATGAGCTCCTCACTGTATTGTCACTTGGGACAGTTGTAATGCAGAAGTGTAAGAAATAGTAGTTGCATTAACCACAGAAGAAACACAACTCTCACATTTGGATGTTTCTGAAATTGTCAGGATGCTTGTAGTTTTTCTCATAACTAAACATTCACTTTGTGTTCTTCTCAGTACAATGCTTAATCAGTACTTGAAAAATTACCATTATATGGTCTTCTCTTTACTAAGGCTGGCTGTCAGATTATTCTTAGATTCTTACATTAATTCCTTTCATAATACTATTTTCCATATGAAGAGTTCCTGCAGTAACTATGCACATTCCACATGATTGAAAAAGGAGTTGTTTGGTTTGCCCATATGCAAAGAAGTGGCCCTCTCTCTATCATAAGATGTGGTTGATGTTGCAAAAGAGTTTAACATCATCACATTCATCTGTTTTGATATTCTGGTGGGAACATTTGACCACGTCCTGCCACTCAAGTCCCCAGATGTTGATTATAACCTGCAAGAAGTCCAAGCTGAAGATTAAGATTTTGAGAAAATATTATATTCCGCCCTAATAAAATAAAGTTATAAAGATTGGGTTGTTGGGTTTTTTTTGGAGTGGTTTGTTAACAAACTGCATTGTGCCAAGGTAGGATTGCTCAGCACCACAACAATACCTGTATCATTAAATTATCAGTTAATACCAGTTTAAAATTCCTCAGTGAAGCCAAATTAGATGCGCCTTCATCTCACTTTGCTTTTTATCCACATATACTCTTGTAGATTGGATTTAGCTGGGTAGAAAAGGAACCAGAGACATCTGAAGAGAATTAGATAATTTCAGGTTCTCCCGTTTAGTTATGCTTGTAGGAAAGATAAATCATCCACAGATTCAAATGATTGTACAAATGTTCCACTCATGGCATTCGACTGTGCTTCAACAAAACAGTAAAACGAGTATTAGAGATGTTCTCACCTTGTGTGTATCACAGTGTCTGTATATGAGAACTGAAATATCACAAAGCACATTGAAGACTAGAGAGGATAGCTTTCATTTGAATTTAATGAGGCAGTAATAATAACGTAAGACAAATTAAATCATATCTTACTGAAATTCTCCATTCTGAAATGAATATTAATGTCATGATGAATCTGAGTCGCAGCATAATATGGCATGTTCCACTGTCTGATTCTAAAAATGGTTGAAAAAAAGCTAAAGCCACATTATGATGTAAAATATATACCTATAGAAAAAGAAAATTACTTTTAGACGTAGATATTCTGCTATCTCTCAGATGCTACAGTATTACATCTTTTGCAACAGTGAGGCTGTGGCATTGATGAAGAAAAAGTTGTAGATCCAGTACTAAAGACTTTACTCATCTAAATAGACTTATTCATCTAAATAAGTGCTGTTGGGGTTGAGTCCAGGAACTCTATCAGAATAATACTAGAAAAATATATGTAAATTACTTCACAACAATTAATTGAGAAATCTAATGATTTCCTTTCATAAGGATTTATAATATTGCACCACTAAAGATGATTTAATATTCAAAATTATGTCATGCCGGCACAAAACCTTTGAAGGGGGGCAAATCTTACAAGTATCCATTTAATTGCCTCATCCAGACCCCGTGGATTATACCTATAAAGCAGACTGACAATCAATTTTAGGGAAATGTTGAAGCAATACTGTGCCATCTCTGCTACCTTTTACCTTCCTGTAGTTAAGTGACCATTATAGGTTGCAGCCTCATGTCATAAATAAATCTGTTTTTCCCTCCACTTCGATCTTTCGCAGTTTTCAGTTTGACACGGGTTAAGCAGCTCAAATGTTAATCTACAGGAATCTGGCAAAGCAGTGCTTCTCAAGGCAGATTTGTGTGCCCCACTAATCACATACATCACTGTGGATCCACCATCTGATATGACCTTTTCTGTTGTCTGTTCAGATGAGAATAAAAGGGTGCTCCTTGTTCCAACAGTCATAGGCTCACACAAGGCAGAAGCTCTGCCAGGACCAGTCATTGAATAGCTACAGGCGCTCTGTCCAAGGGAATCCAGTGGCAAAGTGAAGATTTAGTGTCACTTCTCCCTGTTCCATTGTTGTTAGATCTCTTCCACAGTATTAGAAAGCAAGTATTACCCCTTGTGTCTAGCCAACAAGGACAGACATTACACAGTTGAATCAGAAAATAAATATGGATACCAGATGATCTGGGGCAGCTGTGCAGAAGGGAAGATGGGAATAGCTGCTATACAAACCTTAGAATTTCAAGTATTTATGACAAATCTTGAAAATTCCCATTTTCATAATGGTAAGAAGTCTGTTCTTCCGTATCTTGAGTCACTTGTTTTTGCTTTCTCCATTCCCTTCTTTGTATTTCACTGTTTTGACTGGTAGCACCATATGTTTTCTTCGCACTTACAAAAGTTTCATTGTTCATCTCAGTTTCTTCGGCCAGTTCATCCTGATCAATTATACCACATTTCTCTTCATTCAGGTTTTCAGGGTCAGCCCATTCCTGCTTCTCCCCAGAAGCAAAAATAGCATAGAATATTACTCCACTGTAGTGCACCAGGGCTGCGATCAGAAAGACGTTTTGCCATTCTTCGCGGGTCTGAAAAAATGATCCTGGTCTCATTAAGTTTGTGGTAAAAAGAAATATTAATGTCTGAACTATACTATGAATTAGCACATACTGATCTTTGTTTGATTCCTGATGTAACAGATAACACAATTTATGAGATGTGAATATTTTAAATTTCATATCAAGGGCTAATACAACAGGAAAAGGGACAAGAAATATTCATGGAAAAGCAGATCTCTCCCTAAAACCTGAGTTATTTGGTGATTGCTCAGGAACCCTACTATGGATGCATTGCAGAGGTGTTTCCTGAGTAAGCCTGTTAAGAATTCACTAGTAGCATGAGGATACTGAAGAGATTCAGCCTGTGGTGTTATAAAATAGTATCTCCCTACACAGATAATTAGTTTACAACAGCTGAGAATCCAGCCTCTGCACTGTTGTAGAAGTGAACTTTTAAAACAACAATAATAGAAAACAGCTGAAGATTAATGATGAAATTGAGTTCCCAGGAAAATTGGAAATGTGTTAATTTTCACTGCATAGAACAATCCTTTCCCTAGGAAACATGGAGAAACATTACCTTGTGTTTTGTCATTGCACCAACAATGAGTGGGCACACCATGCCCGACAGCGTCCCCACACCATTGGAGATCCCCATCAGGATGCTGGCATAACGTGGGGCTATGTCCAAGTGATTCACATTGAATCCTACAACATACCAGAGACAACAGTCAACTTCGTGCTATTGGGCCAATACAGTTTTCTCTAGCTGTTCTGGCTAAGGACGCTTTCTGGAAAGCGTCATGTTTGTAATATGTATTTTTCTTTTTAAAAAGATATATTTTAATTTATGTAGTAGTGTTTTTTAAACATATTTTCCAATTCTTTAAGTTATATCTAATGAAACAAAACAAGAAATATATAAAATATATAAACCAGTCAGAAAATTAGTTGTCATGACTGTAGCACATCTTCTTGGTAAACATTTCATTGGAAAATGAGAGAGTAAAAATCAGCTCAGATAATTATCATGCTTTAGGTGATGAAAATTAGTCGTAAGTGCTACGGATGATCACTAGAAAGGATGATGAATTTCAAATCCATGTGATTAAATACTGTAAAAAAGCTGAGTGCTGGGAAAATTCTGCAATATAATTGATTGATAGAAGCTGCCTGCCATGCAAGCACCTCATAGCTGAGCAGTGCAAATACTTCCCATCAGTGTAACCCTGAAAAGATGGAAGGTCAGCAGTTATTTTGTTTTGTTCAATAAATCCATTTCTTGGCAGTCTTCCAGGAGGTGGGCTTTCATCTTCATAGGAAGATGTGTCACTTTTAATAGCAGAGATACTGGTGGAACTACATAGCCAGAGAATGGTAAGCCTCAGAAAATGGTAGAAGCAGCAGTTAAGATTAACAGAGTTGATTATATGATGTAACAGAGACACAGCTGGCCTAGGAAGCACAAACTGGCAGATAGGGTTAGCAGTGGGATTGCAACGAGTATCCCTTGAGCTCATTTCAGAGTAAATCTCTCTCCTTCTTTTAAGGGATACTCATTATGGAAGGTGGCCACCACTGTAAACAGCATTAGCACAAGGCTGATATGAACTAGAAACAAAACAGAGCAGGTTCTTTCAAAGCTTCATGTCCTACGCGCAACACCTTTCATAGATACTGAAATAAATTAATTCTGATATAGGAAGTAGTAGAGAACACTCCATAAGTAGCCATGCTAAGAGCAAACAACAATAAAATGACAACAGGAACAACACTGAGGGTAACATTCCGTTTGTCAATAATAAGGAAATGAATAATAAGATTAATTCTTACCTGAAATTGCAAAGCCACTGAAACCTACAGCTAACACCAGAAAAGAAATAGCCACACCTTTTGTATGAGAATAACCAACCACCAAAAGCAAGGTTGCTTCCATCCCAAAGCCTAAAAATTAAACATATGGACATAAATTACATTGCAGGAACATGTGAATGTTTACTGTTGGGAATATACTTGCTGGAATATTTTAATATATTTTATTGAGAATATACTTCTTACTCCCCCTCCCCTGTGTAAATGAGCTGAGTGATAAAATAAATTGACTCATCAAGCAGTATAGAGAAATAATGAGAAAGTGATTCTCTATGAAACACTGTAAAATCCACAAAACAAAACAAAAAAAAGGGGGTGGGGGAAGGAGAGAAATATTTCTTGTCTTCAATTTCTTATGGCTGCGGTGAAGTGACAAGTTCTTGGCAGACGGAACAAAAGACTTTTTCAGACAAGTGTGTCAGCAACAGAAGAGGACACGCCTGGGTATCACAGAAAACTTCCAGGCTTTGCCTTTGGTGGAAATCAACATTTCCTAATATTTAACTTTACAATCCTTCTGTTTGTTGGTTTTTGTTTGCTTGTTTGTTTTTTAAATAATACTGAAAATAAACCTTGAAATACAATTAATAAAAGAATCCTTTGTGAAGATGTATAGCCAAGCACTGCAGGCATCTCTATTTCAGGCACCCCATGCCAGCCATAAATAATGTAAGCCAGAAGCTAGAAGAAAAGCATGACTCCACAGTCATGCTACAGTTTAGCATCTGTACAGTTTACAGATTTGCCAATTACATGCAGATCCCATTGATTTTTCAGTTCCAATGACCAATCTAGAAATAAACTATTTTGTGCTCAGCAAAAATGAGTTTGTCCATCCACCGTGTTTCTTTCAGCTGATCTCTGCAGCCTGAATTTGCCAGTGGATGCTTCTGGAAGTGGAGCACAGGAACACAGCCAGTTAATGCAGAGTTGTGAAGGGGCTCCTGCAGCACCACAGGACGTGGCTAGCTGTGGCAAATCAAGTTTTCAGCATGAGGCCTATTTTATCATAGTCTCTTCTGAGCCAGGCTTCATTGCCCTTCTAATTATTAACAACTTGTCTTGCCTCCTCTCTTTTTAAAGGCATGCTTGTAGGAGTAAGGACTTAGAGCATAAGGATGTCTAATATCAGCTTGCAATTAAATACTCCAGATTAACCAGCTGCAAATGCAGACTAGAGTAATTTTCTCATGTTGCAACAAAACACTGGCCAAACTATGATATCTACACCAGGTGCAGCACACAACTGAAGTACTATATTTTGGGAATCCAGTAGTACCTCCACAGTTCATGACCTTCCTTACGGTGGTAGTAGTTAAAATCTTCCTGCTCCGTAAGAAGTCAGCTATCTGCCCTCCAATGGGCACAATGATTGTCATGACCATGTGGGGAACTGCAGACAAAAGGCCAACCTGAAATTACAAAAGTAAGTGCTTACTGCTCATATCCTTCCTTGGGATTTAGGGGGAAAAGAACAGGAATCATATATATAGGACACATCTTTAGCATACATCCTTGTGTGGACTGTGGACTTTTTCTTCAACAGAATCTGCAGCAAAGACCTGGCTGACCTTAAGCTACCCTTGTCCCAGCTTTAGGGATTTCCAGGAGCATAAGGGACTCCAGCATGCTTCCTATCCTGGCAGTGGCAGCTTTTCTCCCAGCTCTGAGCATCTGTACACAAGCTATAATGGGGCTCAAGCTATAATAAGAAGGAAAAAAAGATAATTCTGTCTAAAAGTTCTCGAGTTGGTGCTCTAGAGGAATTTTCTCTCTCCAACGGCCAGCACTGGAGTGCAAGACTACTACAGTTTAGCTCATTAGAGTAGATACCCAAAGTGGGGTGATGTGAATATCTCCTCACTGTCCTGGAGGAGAAGGCATAGCACAAGAATCTCACCACAGAAATATCATGCAGTGTCTCTGCTTTTTTGGTGGTTGCTCTGAAGAATGGCATAGAGGACTGCAAATATTTTCTGTTGTAGATACCAGAAAGCACTTACTTATATGTCCTACAGTGAAGTGTTCTGTCTCTCAGTTTACAACTGCTTTTACATATTTTTATTATTCTGTTCTCAAGGAGATCCTTTCTGCATAGAGAGTCTGTTTCTTGATGCTATTATAATGAAGGCAGCATGTGTGCATTGCATGGGCAATAACTATATAGAGTATAAAACATGAAATTATATTAGAATCTTACGAATAAGCATACATTTGAAGTAATGCATATACTTCTGCTCTTATGGTAGTAGGACCTATAAATTGATGCTCATTTTATCACATTTTCTGGCAGAGTTCCTACTTTTTCTGTAGGCTCTGGTACTTATCCCAAATACAAGAAAAGACTCTATTTTGTGGCCAGCACATCATCTTATAGAGGTTTAACTCTGAAGAATTCAGTAGGAATTCTGAGTTTCACTTTCCTCACACTAACACTAAATCAGCTTTACATTTGTTTTTAATTAGTGAACATTCTAATATTTGTGAAAGACAACTGAGAATAAACAAATCTACTTTCTCTTAATAACCCTGTTCTTCATACCATTGCTACAGTGGGCCATTCAGAGTGTCATTACCCTGAATAAATAATTACTGCTATAATCAAATAGCATGTTACTATATGAAAATTATTATATAACAAGTAGGTTTTTTTAAAAGGAAAGTTGGAAGAACTTTCTCGTACAACCACTCCACAGTCCACATACATGCTCTAAAGGGAGATTGTAGCAATATTGGCTTTAATGAAGTGGCAGGAAATATCAATCCATGGAAAATTTTACTCCTGATTGTCAATGAAATGTACTGAAAAAGAAAGAAAAGGAGGAAAACCATTGCCTGCCAAGTACTGCCAAGCCACCAGCACTTAAAAAAAAAAAAAAAAAAAAAAAGTGCATTTCTATTTACTTACCTGCTGGTTTCTATGAAGTGTTTCTTTGTTACCAGTGAAAGAAATTTGTCCTTTCTTTCTTTTTGCTAATGATTTGATGCTAGCATGTTTTCATGTCTATCAAGTTTGTAAACGTATGTCATCCCAGTTACCTGCAATAATCTACTGAAATGACTGCACTGACATCTGGGGATGTCATCCTCTGCCTCCTAGAGTGGAGTCTGAAGGTTACTGCTTCATCTCAGACATTTACCTTACTTATTGCAAATCCAAAGACTTCTTCAAAGTAAGCAGGCTGACTTATAAGGAGCAAATAGAAGGTCCAGCTTCTACAAAAGTTAGCCACAATGATTGCATAAACTGGCATTGAAGTGAAAAATCTTTTCCACGGAGTACTAAATTTCTAGGGGAAAAAAAGAGAAAAACAGTAGGTAGAAAGTATCTTCAGTATCAGGACTATCCATTATATTATATTGCATAAAATTCACACTGCAAATTGCTTACAATGTCAGCCTGAATTAATGGTGGAAGAAGAGAGACAGAAAATCTTTCTTGGAATCGTTAAGATTTTTAGGATAACTACTGTGCTATTATTGCTCTGCTCACTGAAATCACACAATTCTGTTCTGAAATCCTGCTGTTGGGATAATAGGATCAATAACAGAGTCAAAGAATACTAGAGGAAATATTGTTCTGTTCCCCACTCTCTGTCATAACAAGGTTTGAGATGGTCCTACAAAGGGCTTATGAAAAAAGGGCTCTTCAAACTAAGAAACACTTAGTAACACACCAGCAGGCTACTACTTCCTTCAACCTAATTCATTTCATTCAGCAAAAAAGCTTGTAGTAGAGGATTTAATTCATATAATTTGCTTTCAGCATTTCCAATTTACATTTATGCCTAAATATTCCATACAGCAGGAGCAAAAAAAAAAATCTATTCACTTGAAATAAATATCAAATCAGAAGCCTGAATAAGTAACTATTGCAATATTCGTTACTATTCTCCTTACTTTAAAATAGTAGCTGTGTTCCACAGATAACTGTGTCTGCAGTTCATGTGTGGACACATGATGATGCAGTCAAATCTTCATGTAGCAAGGGAAAAACATGACTTGATACAAGTGTGTATGTCTCCAAACAGTGACTTAGCCAAACCTCAGGAGCATGTCCAAAAGGGGGGCCTGATACTTTATGCTTTCTCTTACAGTTATCTAAAACATGTAGAGGATAGGGTTTGGAGAGTTGACCTTTTTTTTCTTCTTCTTTTTTTTTCCCCCCAGAATGTTAAATAGTAAAGCCAAGGAGGAGTAATGTATTGAGAAAAATCTTTGTTTTTTGCCTATAGCAATAATGAGTTACTTAAAGAAATAATGTAATACTTAAAGGGATAGTGTTTGACAGGAAAATAAGTTTTGCTTGCAAGTTCCTAGGATCCTCCTGAGGAGAGAAGTCTTAATACAGAGTACTGAACTACTGTGTGAGAGAGCAGGGCAGAAGTCCCAGTCTGACCGAGAATTTCAGTCATCCTTGGCAGGAGTCCATAAGACAGCAAGGTAATTTAACATCCAGAGCCAGATCCTTATTATGGTATTTCCATTAGTTTGGGGACTTATTTTAGAACAAGTCTGATAATTGCTCAAGAACATACCAGAATGTATTGTTTCCTGCTCTCCCCATCCCATTCCTCTCCCTAGGCTAAGGATGCTGTGTAAACCAAGAGCTGAAACAGCCCTACAGGTTTTGCCTATTGCTGAATTTGTCCTGTACACTTGCATGAGCCTCACCCTGCATTCTTCATAAAACAAACAGCCCCTAAACTTCAACAGAAATAATTCTGCTGTTCTTATGAAGCTAACTGTATCTATCCCATTATGTGCTGGTGTTACGCAAAGAGCTCACGAATTATAAAAGCCTTTTTTTACTTACGCCTGCACTAGCAAGGCTGGCTCCTTCTCCAATACTTGTTTCTATATATACCCTTTCTTCTCTGGTTATTGTCGGGTGTGCAGCTGGACTCTCATAGGCATGAAGCAGCCAGAACATGTACCAAACAATCCCAAACATTCCTAGAGAGGCAGGAAAAGCAAAACTCAGTTTTAAGAGCCAGTTAAGCCGTACTTCTAAATCTAAAAGTGTTAAGGTGATTTCAACAGCCAATTAAACCAAATCTCCATTAAAAAATATGCTCAGAGAAGGGAGAAAAAATGATTCCCAACTCTGTACATACAAATACTTGTTTGCAAAGTGTTTGAGCATTCTGTTGCTCATATGACACAGTATGTGTAGGGCAGAAAAAAAGTAGAAACAAAGTTTATGCGGAACTGGGAGAAGAAAATAACAGAATGATCTTACATGTTCACATCTGCATACAAAGGCTTCACAACCAGAGAAGACAGAAAACTCATCTCAACTGCATGGGACAGATTTTTCAGGGCACAAGGTTTCTGAAGCTTCCTATCAGCAGCATATGTTGACCCTTACGCCATATAGGGTGCTCTGGGATACGTATCACTTGAGTGCTTGTGTTGCAGAGCAACATGCACAACTGTACCCAGCCCTGTCATGGGATGACCATGTGTCACTTCTACCAAGCACACTACAGAAAGCCAGAAAGTTATTCTTGTTGGTCCTTTATACCATGGGCTGTAGTCTGGTCATTACAATTTTAAAACATACTACAACAGATTACAGAACAAAAGTTTTCAGAAGCTGCCATAAATAGAGAATAATTGGGAAGACCCACTTGCAACCACTTCATTCATCACAACAGCTTTGATCCATATCCATCACACAACCTTAACAAAACTGTAGGCAATACCAGCTGAGTAGAGGAGATTCTTTATGTTAACAACTCACCATAAATATAGAAGACTGATGACCATCCTATATACTGTACTAGCACTCCTGCCAATGGCATGGCGACCACTGCACCTGCATATGACCCTGAGGAGAAAAAAGGATTAAGAAAACACATCAGCAATGTTAATTGAGTCCAGCTCTTACTACAGGCTGGCATCTTTTTTTTTTTTTTTTTTTTTTTTTTTTTTGTGAACATTTGATGGGATGGCAGCTGTGATATTTTGACTGGGATAGAGAGACAGGCCCTTTGCTGGAGTGGGATCATCCGGCTCATTCTGCAGCCAGAAGGAATGTGGTAACCTAGGTAAATGGGATTCACAAAGCTGACACTAATGGCGTACCACCACACAGGCGTGACTTAAGATCTGAACAGGGGATTTCCACTTAACTTAACCCTGTGGCATATGAAGGAAACCTCAGAGAAGCCAACAGCTTGAGTTTCAGAAGCCCTCATGGTGTCCAGAAAGCCCGATGGTTGCCGATATACTGAGAAGCTTCTGTCATGACTCTAGCCCCACCACCCGACAAGCACTGCAAGTGGAGGCTCACATCAACCCTGAGTCTGTTTAACCACGTTTAGTTTATGCCAGTGGCATGAACAAACACACAGAATAAATAGCCTAATGTTGACACAGGACAATTTAAAAAAAAAAAAAAAAGGAAAAAAGTGAGCTATGCCAAGGTTTTCAGATTGGGAAACATACATTACTGGCTAAATAAACTTCTGAATGACTTGCAGAAAGAACTGAGAATTTAAGTACTTGGAAAGAAATTTCAATGAAGATTCCAAGGAGGATTCATGTAATCTGGACATTTGGCATCAGCACAAAATAAAGACATGTGAGAAGTGCTGCTTTGAATTACTTTAGGAAATAAGATACACATACTTTTGACCTTATTATATACTTTGTTAACGAATACCTATAACCTAAAACTACAGGCAAATGCAGAAGTACTCTTCTCTCCATTCATTAGCAAACACTTCTCGTTGCAGTGACTCTTTGTATAATTAATTCAGTGCTCTTGCAGAAGTAGCAAGCCCCAGGCAAGAAAATAGAGAAACTAGGAACACGGGTAACACAGGACTTCATAATCTTTCCATCATCTCTGTTCACCTTACAAGAGTGAAAGAGAGATGCAATTTCTTAATTTTAATTTTTTTTTAATTTCTTTAATTTTCTTAGAAGTTCACTGACTATCTGTAGCAACTGAAATGGGTGTTGAGCTACAGGATGGATCTTTATCTGCTGGGCTTTCAGCATTGAGTGTGGAGAAACCTCTCTTTTAGTCTGTTCCTCTGCAGAAATTTGAAACTCCTAAGTAATCACTAAATACCAGTCATTTGTAGTAAAAATAGCATTCCCAGAGTATTAAAAGAAAACACATTTTTTTTTATTTTTTTTCCTTTCAGTCTTTTTTTTTTCCTACTATTCCACATGCATTTTAGCCCTGCATTTTCCCAAGCTTTTCAGTTCCACTGCTAACAGACAATAATTTCCTGTGACTTTTATATTCTCTATTACATATTCTCCCTCACAGACATTTGTCTTCAGCTAGCTTTAACTCACCAATGCTTATTTTCTTTTTCTTCCTCCATTCTCAGCTGCTCACTTTTCAAAGCATTACTATTTCTGATTTGTCTTCAGTATTATTAAACACCCGCTCACTGTTCTGAGTTCCCTTTTAGAATCATAGAATCACAAGGTTGGAAACGACCTATAAGATCATCCAGTCCAACCATCTCCTCATCACCATTGCCACCACAAGCACTAAACCACATCACGCAGCACATCATCCAGATGCCTCTTGAACACTGCCATGGACGGCGACTCCACCACCTCTCTGGGCAGCCATTGCAGTGCCTGACCACTCTCTGAGAGAAGAAGCTCTTCCTTATGTCTAATCTAAACCCCCTCTGATACAACTTGCGGCCATTACCCCATGTCCTGCCCGTTGCCTGGGAGAAAAGGCCAAATCCCTCTTCACCACAACCTCTCTTCAGGAGGTTGTAGAAGTGTACAAGTGGGAAAGGACAAGGCAAATGGAGATGTCTGCTTTAGAGGATAACAACAGACCAAAGTTATTGAGTAGGACTTTTCCTTCACTCTCACAACGGCCCACCTTAAATCACACCACAATCGTTTCTGCTCCATACTCTGGACCTTCTATGGTATGAGAATGGAGGAGGTGCATTTGGGTTATGCCTTATCTTCCTCCCATTTAGCCTTTTATCCAAATGAAGTCAGTAAGAAGATACAAGCATTCACAGCTTTCCCTGAAATCAGCAGCTAGGCTAGCCACTGAAATGAGATGAAGAAATGAAAGGGCTAGAAAGGCATGAGAATCGAGGTAGTCTTCTCCGGAAAGAAAATGTGGTAGTGCAGAGTGATCGGCAGCATTTCTTTTCAAAACCTGCTACCCAGAGGATAGAATTAAAAGAAAAACTCTTTATTCTTAATATGGATGTGGATGAAAAGAGAACAAGATGTAAAACTCAGTATTTTTCTTGCTCCATGCTTCATAGAAAGATCTAAGGCTCTTGTCAGGCTAAAAATTGAATGAAAGAATTTTATTTCTCCCATCTTTCCACTGGATTCCTTTTCCCAAAGCCTTCTGAAATTTCCTTCAAGCCACCTTCTAGAAGTCTGTCTGCCAGTAGTAGGAAAGACCCAGTGAGCAGAACAAAGAATAAGACTGACCAAGCCCTCAAGTTGTTTAAAATAGTTGTTAAGTGCATGCTTAATTAAACAGTCAGTTCAATGCATACAGCAGATAGAACACCTAAAGACTGAGCAAATGAAAAAAAAAAAAAAAAGTGAACCATAAAATGAATAATATATATGTCAATACACTCATAAGCCTATCAACTTACCACAGAACGATGTCGTTGCCAACCTGCTTCTCTCCAGTGGAGGAGCCCATTTACTCCACATCCCATGGCAGGCTGGGTAGGTGACACCCTGGCAGACATTTCACACATCATATGATTTGCTTTCACTGCATTCCTACTTTAAGCAGTTGCTGAAAGAGTTAACCTTTCTAGCTCGTTGTCACTACATCGGAAGGGCTAAAATAAGCCTGGGAGAGATTTCCTTTGGGGAGTGTGAAGATGGAAACTAACTTAAATGGTATGGTGTCCTGGGTTAAAAATGCTGCTTAGTGCATGCAGTGGATGGCTTAAATAGGCAGAACTAGGTCTATCTGCAGAACTATTAATCTATTATCTTAAGCTCCTTTTAAGATAAATTTAAAAACATGAATCAACATAAGAAAAAAAATCATCACTGTAAAAATACCAATGCAAAAAAAAAAAAAAGAGTAACAAGTAGAACTGTAGATGGATCAGAAAACCTGACCAAAATGTTTCAAACTTTTTTTAAAAACCAAATTTCCCCAAATGAAAGTGGTGAATGTTCTTACCTCTACCAGACCTTGCAGAATTCTTACAAACATCACACAGCCGTAATGTACTCTTGCTGCAGAAGGGATGAACATGTTCAGTGTAGATGTTAGAAAAATAGCTGCTCCAAACACCCTTCGAAAAAAGTATCACAAAAGAGAATGTAATTATCATCTGCTTTTCAGAAGCAACGTTGTTCTCAGGTGCAATCTCAAAGACAACTTCTCCACTGCCCACCAAGTCACCAAGTCACAGATAATTGTAAATTTACCTTATTGGCAAAAGGGGTAAATACACATAATGTCACTACATTTTCTTTCCTGAATGAGATAGGAGTTTTATGCATATTTAAACAAAGGTTTTGTTTTATTCCTCTATCTCAGAGGATGAGACTTTGGTGTAGTTGCTGGTGGTTAAGCTGTTTACACAAGCCCTGAACTGAGAGCATTATTCCTATTCTGGGAAGTACTTGAATTCTTTTGTATCAGTAGGGTTTGACTTAAATCAGGTAAAGTCTTGTTCGAGTGCCTTACTGAAATGTGGGCGCGTGCTGATTATTTCCTCTTCCTGCAGCTTAAACTCATAACAACACAGTTTGAGATCAACTCCTTCCCAACATCAGTTCTCTAAATAATAGATAAAAGCGTTCTTTCCAACTGTAGCATAGAAGGGGTGCTTCCTCAAGAGAGCTTCTGGGAAAGACATGATACGAACATTTTGTTCCCTGCTTGGGAAGAACACTTCCTGCAGCTGGGTGCAAGTCAGCCAGGGTTCTCCATGCATCGGAGCCTTTGGGAAATCTTTTGCAGCCTTCCAGAGGTTACCATCCATTAGAAAAATGGGAAGCAGAAAACTCTGTGGTAGTTACAGATCCAAGGAACATCCTCAAAACTTCAGAACACTCAGAGGCCCTGGGGATACGCTCAGAGCTGGGTCTGTCTCATTCCCCACAGTCTGTGGGAGCTCTTCCCAGTAGAGACACGGCCTTTTCTCAGCTTAACTGAAGAGCAGTGCAAACTTAATGCATTGCATTAATAATAAACAATAGTGATGATAGACATGATGGACAGCTGGGCCACAGCGCAGTCATTTCAGTATGAGATGGTTGCAGGTTTGCATACTTTTTTACACCCAGCTGATTGAAGTCTCAGGTTCCCTTTTTGTACCACAGACAGGATTCAGTATCTGCCACATTCTGAATATCAAGAGTTCATGACTCCAACATCTTTGGAAGATGATATGCAGGAGGATCCCCTCTCAGATTCTGTCACAGCACCGAAAACTATTAGATCTGGCAGAAGGAGTTCATTCTGCAGATAGAAAGCTGCACTGGCTGACGGCCCTGGGAATCACTGCACGTTAGAAGATGGGAGGTTGGATCAGAACAGCCTTGTCTTATCCCAAGACTGAGGGTCACACCTGAGTTTCATCTCTCCCTTGTGGCAGAGATCCTCAGCTCCTGGCTACACTGATGCTAGCTGGCAGCAACTGCTCTGTGAGGACCGCAGTTCACATTCCTTTTCAAACTGCTCAAACTCACTGGTGTTGAACAGTTCTGAATTGGCTTATTATGCCTGTGCCATTTAAAAAATGACAGATGACACATCAATCTTCATTCTGATATAGGAATGATATTAGATATTTAAACTGAAATAATGGCAGCAGAAATATTTTCTCCGTTTTGATTTTTCTGCCAAAGACATATGCAGATCTCGCTATGTATGGCTATTTATCATCTTCCATTGAAAAATATTCATAAACTTTTAAAACCTTCTGATCCCACGAGCATTTTTCTTCTTCTTTTTTTAAAAAAAAAAAACATTCACAGGAAATATACATCACTTCATATTTTAAATCCAAGTTTATGATCATTAATTATGAGGAATTAATGATAGCATTATAGCCCAAAGAATCCACAGTCAGAGATCAACGTTGTTTTTTCTGATCCTGTACACCTCTTGACAAAAGCAGCAGCTCATGCCTGGACAGCTCATAACCCGAGTGACAGGAAAGCAATCAACACATGAACACAAAAGCAAAGAAACTGAGCAAAGCTGACAGAGGGAAGTGACAAAGGAATGAATTTGTACGGAAACTAGTCTGAAAATCTGAAGTGGTATGCAAAGGCTGTGATCGCGTCTTGACATTTAGGAGGCTGCTTTCAAAGCCAAATAAGCATTTAGCTAAGAAATGAGCATCACTAAGAGCTCTGTTATGGTCAGTGAAGAGTTTTGCACCTTGCATCTTCCTTGGCATGAGTAGAGTTATTGGTTATGTTATCCTAGAGCTACTGGCCATCTCAGTGAACTACGGCAAATTAAGTAGAAAAATAAGTTATAGAGCAAGTGGAAGAATGAATAAGCCATAAGAATGAGAACATGTTTTACTACCCAACCAGCTAGCTCTCAGGATTGAGTTTCCAATCTTCGCAACTTCAATTAATGCCAACTCCTAACACACCCAGGTTGTAAATGCATCATTTACACTGTGTTGGAACCAGCTACTCTTTTGTTACTAACAGGCTAAGCAGTGTTTCTGCAAATACCCAGCCAGCATCTTTCCAGCAGTTTCCAGCCTTCAATCCCAAAGAAGCTGGTCTCCACCATGGACAAGAATACACCGGTTCTTTTCAATTCATTGATGTATTCTTTTCTCCTCACTACCATGATCCATAGCCAGTTACCACTTAGCATCAAAACAGCTTTCTCCAGCAACAGACTCCTCTGCCCAGCAGTGCGCCATTACCAAAGGCTGATACCAGGGGGTGCTTTATGTTTCATGTCTCCTCATCACAACCAAAGAATCAAGAAATTTTGTTAGGACACATGTTGGAGGATAAGCAGTAAATCAGAAGAACACAGTCATTAAATAGTGAACTTTCTGATGGAACATAGATATATACAAATTTGGACATGCATAAAGCAACTTACTTGGTGTCAGGTGGTTTTAATGCAAAAGCGTAAAGCACTTAATATTTTCCTCTGTTCTGAGATCTGTTTGAATGCCACATTATTATTCACAACTATTTGCAATAATGCTTGTTGGGTCGGGGGGGGGCCCCCCCCCCGAGAGTTTCCATGCATGTTCAAGGTTCCACAGTGGTGAGCAGAATTTAAACAGGTAACAAAAGACTCTATACCTAAATCTGTAGCACAGTAATAGGGCAGAGTCTCATCTCATCTCATTACTGAGCACAGTTGTGAGACAGAAAACATTTATCTTTCTAGGGGAGGTGGGTTCACAGGTTGGCCCCTGCTCTGCCTGTGTCCTGCCCTGTGGCGTTAGCAAGCAGATGTTACCCCTCTGAAAGGGAAATACTGCTGGATCTACCCAAGCAGAAACTGGTAGGGAGAACGAAGAATGAAGGAAAAACGTAGAGTTAGTCAGATCTGTGGTCCTATTATTACTACAAACTCTTTTAGTTTAGGAATACTCTTTTAGTTTATCTTTTGGTTGGGGGTGTTCTTCCTTGAGCAGATTCTATTCCCAAACCCAGTCATAATTAGATCTATAATGTGGTGTCATACTGTAGAATCAAAATGAGTCTGAAAGTATAATGGGGACAGAAGTATAGCTTCCTGTGCATATGATATGATAGATACCTAAGGAAGTAGTTAGCTGATAGAATACGTTGAGCTATTGGGTATACTTGGTTGATTTTACTGTTAACAAAAAATATAAAGGTAACAAAAGCCAAAATAATATTATACTGAATTATTCAGCCAACAGTGCACACATCTGTGTTTTTGAGCCCTTCAGCTGCCAAATTTCATGGCAAGACTGGAAAGAGAGGGAAAATGATTAAACCTAGCTAATTTGTTTGGCTTATTCAACAGAATGAAAAGCATCCTGCTTAGGCACCTCAAATGGTAGAGAAATAAGGAACTGAGGCTGCTAGTAGTGTTGAAGAAGTGCAGACTGAACTCAGAGTAACTTTTTGTTACAGATAGAGCAGAGCTGGGGCTGAACTTCTGGAAAATTCTATGGTTTGACTCCATCCTGGAGTCATTTCCATAAGAGACAGTGGTGAGGAGAATGCTTAGACAGCCTTGTAACCCCTGTAACTCTCTGAAGAGCACAGAGCATGAAGTACTTTTATTTGAGGCAAAGCAATGCAAAGCTGGTCTTAATTTTTTTTCTCCAGTTGTGAAAGCCATAGGAGATGGCTTCAAATCTTTTTTGCAGGGAAAAGTGTGAGTGCCAACCCTCTTTTTCATCTGTAGATCTCAAACATCTTTCACATGCACATCTCATGAGTTCATTTACAACCAGCTGTCTTCAGACAAGCTCTTTGTTTCTTTGGAAACTTTTGGAAAATTTCAATCCACAGGGAAATTTTGAAGGAGAAAAGTCAAATTTATTTGGAAAAAAATAATTTGGTAATTTGAGTTAAAAGCACTGATGCTCTTCTGAAAGACAAATGCTACAAGCATTAGCTCAAACATCAGGTGTGTATTCCAAACATCCTCCAGAAAGCACTGTAGTTTAGAAAACAATAAATGTGTAAACATTTGAGATGAGCAAATCACTTGGAAGAAGCAGAAATCAGACCCATTACAGAAGTCTAGCTCCTTTTTTGGTTATAGACATTAATACTGCAAGTTCAGCTTCAAGTTCTTTAAGCACCTTTGTTCACTGTGTTAGTAAGCAGTATAAAACAGACATTTGTAAAGCTGTAAAGCTTAACTCTTGCTTACTGTTTTCTAACCTGTTAGCAGCCAATTTGTTTGCAATGAAACCTCCTGGAATTTGTGTCACAATGTAACCCCAGAAGAAAGAGCCGTGTATGAGTCCCACTGTCTCTGGATCCCAGTTGAATTGGGCTTTCTGTAAAAGAAACAGAAAAAATGTAAAATGAAGCACACTTATTACTAGGTAAACACTATTTGCAAGTCTCACAGAAGTCACCCCATCCTACAGATCAAGATAATCTCTTTGCACTGGTGTTACTGAGATTGAATCTTCTCCATTCACGGCAAAATGCTGCCAACTTGATAGGTGGAATTACTGCTTCTGCTCTGTCAGGGTGACTAAGAGAAAAGAGTTCAACCAAAAGGCAGCTGGTGCTGGCCCTTCGTCTTTGGCTCTTGCCACTGCTTCCCTTTGTGCTGCTTAGTCTTGAAGACTTTGTTTTCAGGCCTGCTTGGTGATATAAGAAGGATCTATTGCCTTTCAATGAGCACATCCATTTACTCAACAAGATTGCTCAAGCTGGACTTTGTCTCATCAAGGTACAACTGACCATCCAGCATCTACATTAAATAGTAGTATGGGAGCAGAAGACGTTTATAGAAGAATGGGGAGAAGGGTAATATCTGAAGAAGTAATCTAAAAGTTAGGTTAACACTAGCTGACTAGTGTATCTTCTATAAAAAGTGATGCCAATCATAGAGTTGGATTTGGATACAGAATACCATCCCCAAGCAGGTCACAGATGGTTCCTAGCCAATAATTTCTAGAGCTAAGAGAAATATTTCTACATGTCATCCTTGAATACCAAATAGTTTCAGTCTCCTCAAATCTTCCTGATTAAGGGCATTTCTCTGATGAGTCTGTTTTAACATACTCTGTTCAGAAGAGGGATAGTCAAAACCCAGAAAAAAAAAAAAAACATAGAGCAGTGAAGAAAAGGTGACCCAAGGTGCCCCTCCTGCTCATTGTTCTTGAACACCTAAACAGGGCTTGACTCAGTATAATCACTCTAACATAAGGTCATTGTCAACGTTTTCTCCTTGAACCTTCAATTCAGAAGAGCTATTCTGAAGAAAAGAGAAACCATGGTTGTTTTGCTTAAGGATTATTTTGGGGCTAATCACATGGCAAGGAAAGGTGGTTAAGCATCACAGCACAGATATTTTTATATTCTGAACTAAAATCGTCACTAAAACATGAAATACGAAAACTAAAGAGGTAGGCCTTAACATCTCCTTTTTTCATATTACTTCGTGTGTATAGAAAGAAGTATATGGAGTTGCAATTCAGTTTTCAAAATATCTAATTTTCTACTTAGTTTCTTAATGTTAATTTGTAAAGGCTGAGACATCATGAAACATAGAGAAATTTCCATTTTCAGGAGAGGCTCATGCCCAGACAGAACAACTTGGTGGTGTTATCTCAAGGAAAACTTAGGGAAACATCAGGTAAGAGTCAGTATTCTTGTGAATAACCTGTTACAACAGAATCCAACAATAAGCAAATTTTATACATGCAAGAACCAGTACACATGACAACCCAGCCCTGTGCCATGGCAGGAGTGGAGAAACTTAGACATGGTTTGAACATACAGTTCATTGGGTGCATTTTTAAAAGTCTGTAGGCATCTTCTGTGAACCATGTGCCATCCATCACAAATTTGAGATAGCTTGGCACCTATTTCCAGTTACCTCTAGACAGCACTCCCCACTGTCAATAACTTGCAAATAACTGTTGCCCTATTGCCTACTTTAAAGTCCTGAAATTCATCCACTGATCTGAATTAGAGGTACACAGAACGATTAATAATTCCTTCTGTAGCAGCATCAGGGTGCATTCCCCTGAAAGACAGTAAATGGTAAAGTCTTCTGCAGCTGAAACAAAATCTGTCTACAGCTGAAAGACTGGAAACTTGATAAGCACACAAGCCAACTCAGTTCTCATTTCTGCTATTTACTTTCCGTATGTCATTGCAAATGCTCATATCACACGGATTTTTTGTGCGACTTAGAGACCTAACTGAGGATAAAGAATCTACGCATCTGTAGGAATCCAGACTTGCATGTCTTCCTGCCTGAGTTTTTGATCTCTACATGAACTGTTCTTCGATATGTGGCACTTAACAACTCTCAAAGGAGAACAGGAGATAGAGGATGGCTTCTCACCTGCAGCTCTGGTTTGCCATTAATATAAACAGTACTATTGTTCACCATTTGCACGATGGCAACACCCAGGTTGCACCGAATTCCAAAGGAAATGCAGAAGCCCAGGCCGCTCATGATGGCGATGATGTAGCGCTTGGGCAGCCCGCAGCAGTAACAGTCACACAGTTGCGGCTTGCGGGCGCTGGCTTGCACAGGTCTCCCCTCTTCTGTCAGCTCAATGTGATCCTCCTCGACGTTGGTGCCATCGATTTTCCTAAACAGAAGAAGCAAGAGAAAATAGAAGTACCTCACTGTGAAATATAGGTGGACAATTAGGTGCTGCAGTCAGCTTTTAAAGCGCTTCTTTGTGAGGGGTTTGCCTCTTGGCGCTTTGATGAGATCATGCTGGGCACACACAGCCTGTATTTTTGTCACGAGCAACCCCTAAAGTTCCAAAATCCCAGACATTTGGCTGGACAGCTTGCATAGAAGTGCTTGTGGGCTTTTCACAAGCATCGTTATGAAAGGTCTAATGAGCTCTGCTGTGATAAATCCTGCTGGTTGTTAACAACGTCAATATACACATGAAGAAATCCATCTTAACTTCTAATTAGATCCACTGAACAGACTGGCAGCGAGTTTCAAGGAAAGGGCAAATACAGCATGAAGCATATTTTTTCTCAGATTCAGTTTAGATGCTGGGGGAAATTTTTCCCTGAGAGGACAGTGAAGCCCTGGCGGAGGCTGCCCAGAGAAGCTGTGGGTGCCCCATCCCTGGAAGAGTTAAAGCCCAAGCTGGATGAGGCCCTAGGCATCCTGACCTGGTATCCTCATTTAGTGGTCACCAACCCTGCCTTTGGTAGGGGGGGTTTGAACTAGATGATCTTTCAGGTTCCTTCCAACCCAAGCAATTCTGTGATTCTAAGAGCCAGGCCCAGGCTCTCTCTGTCCAAAGGGATTTGATGACAAGTAACCCCTCTGCTGTGAAATATCACTCACCACAAGAAGTTAGCTCATTACAAAGCTCAATTCCTGTTGTTGAGCATTCTACCTTTTTCTTTAAAATAATTAACGTTCAGTGAGATCTGAAAATTAAGCAACTTTCTGCTCACTGCCCCTCAGCAGCAGAGGCTGAAGGGGCTTCACCTGGGAGCAAATTTTGTGTGGGCACTGCAGTGCAACTGGGGAGAATACAGAGGGAAGGTCCAGAGACACAGACTTTTCTGTTTGCTTAAGAATAGGAGCAAATGGTACCTATGCGTGTCAGCCTGCTCTCACTGCACCAACCGTAGGGAGAAGGAGGGCCCATTGGAGGGCACACAGCTGCTGCCATCAGCCCAAGTTGCACTCTGTAGCAGCATCTTACAATACAGATGGTTTCATCAGTACAACAGTTGCCCATTGCTATTTCTTGCACTTATGGAACTATTTTCCTGTGCTAAAGCAATTAAAAATTATTTGGTCTCTCAGTTCGATTGGAAATACCAACACCCTGTGCTGTAGGAATGGGGAATGTCTCTAGTGGGAAAGATGAGATCAGAAGGAACTGAAGACGCACCATTAAATTGGAGCTAAACACTTCCTTTCCTAACATTAATTTCTAATGCCTTTGTTTTAAATGCATATACAGGCTTTCCAACATGCCAAAACACTTAAGCACACTCTGAATGCATGGCTGCCCTCTGAACACCACCTGCAAGATTAGGGTTAAGTGTTCTCTAAAGGAAAGCCTTGATCAGCAGCTGTGTTAGGAAGCCTTTTAGCTTTGGCACTGCTGTGAATTAGTGGGTGCAGGATCCAGCTTTTTTTGTGTCCGCCATGGAGGTGCTCTCACCACTAGCAAAATGTGAGCACATACTTAATATAAAAGAAGCTTGGCTTGGTGTATAAGATGATGAAATGATTTAATTCATTCTTTTCTGGTAAGGAGTAACTTATTTCCTTCCTTTACACATCTGGTCTGAAATGTATCTAAAATCTAATGCACTTCAGTCTTCCGTATAATAATCAACTACTAAAAAATATTTCCAGAGCACGTATGGTTGGGCTACACTTGGCAACCTACACAGTGGTTGGCTGGCTCTTTCAAGAAAAGTTTTGTGTTTAATCATGGCCTTCTCCAATTCCTTTGTGTCTAAAGTACTGCCCATAGCCTAATGGATGGTATTCCATACTCAAGGTTTTGCAAATACAGATGATATCTATAGCTTCCTGAGCTGCTGCATGGGGATTTAAATAGGAAATTTCACTTTAAATTGTTAGCATTTATAACTTCCAAGCTCCATTTCTAGCTTCAGGTGCATCATTTGCTATATTACTGTTTTTTTACATCGTATAATAAAACTGTTAATCTAGTTTTATTCTCAGCAACAAGAAAAAAAAAAAAAAAGAAGCATGATAGAATACATCAGTTCACACTTCCAAGAAATACCAGAACTGAAATGGTTATTTGATTTAACCCCTTGCTCAGAGCAGTGCTAACTGTGAAGTTAAATTGGCTTGGTTTAGGCTGGAGTGAGAACTTTGCATTAAAGCAAGGTAACACAGGAAACATGATAGGATTGTGGTATTATTGAAGGTGACTGAGATCTTGCAATCCATTGGCAAAGAAACAGCACTGTTGGTGAAATGAGAGTACGGACAGAAACACAGCGAGGCACTTTAAAAGAAAGACCCTGTATTTTCCTTGCTCTATGTGCTCATGACAGCTGGTATAAACCATATAAAATGTCAAAAATGAAGAAGGCAGGAAAAAAAAAAAGACAATTATTTCTAGAGCTATTATTGTTAACTCAAAAGATCTATTAACAAAAAAAAAAAAAGTAATTTTATTGTCTTACTCCAGAGTAAACTAAGATACTGAATGAATTAAAGCATAATTCCTCATTTTTCTGTACTTTTATCACTCTGTTTATATGAGAGAGATTATGCTTTAATTGGTGCATCATTTTTGGACAGCTGGCAAAGATTGGACATATCATCCAAAGCAAAAACATCTGCTCCTTTCTGGATGCTTTCAGCAAGCTGTCAATTCACATAGGCATGAAAACATCCTTTGACTCCAAATTCACTGTTGGCAGTGTTGATGCAGGACACTATTGTCCAGCATCACTTCTGCAGTGGAATTGTTTTGCTATTGTATTCAAGTACTCACTAATAAAAGCAGATTGAGAACTGATTCATAACCTCAGATAATCACAGAATATTTGGTATCTTGAAAGTTTAACATTAACCATTCTACTATAGCAGAGGTGTCTCAGAGAAAACAGTTCCAAATCCAAAAATGAATCTGGAGCAAAGTGTAAGCAGTGCAAGCATTCACACAGTCTGTGTTTGACCTTGCATTTTGGCCTTATGTCACTGAACAGTGTAAATGTAGAATGGAGGTATGACAAATCCATAAAGGATAAGAAATAGATCCTACAGCTGATCAGTATCATTTGGCAGTGCCATTGAAATTTTCCTGTTGTACACTAATAGTTTAGAAGAGAGCTGTTCAGAAACAGTCTTCTCTCTAATTATTTGAATAGTGCTGAGAACGTTTTGCTGGAAGATGTTTGTTTGGTATTTATATCCCTCTGATGTTTTCAGCAAGCACGCAACACTTGGCACACAAGAACATCTTGGCTGTTTGAAGATATCTACATCTATATTCCATACCCAAATATTATAATTACTGCATGTAACATTTCTGCATCTGACATTCTTTCTCTTCTTTTCTAAAGAGCTTTAACTCTCAGTCATGTAAAGTTTTGGAAGAACGAAAGTTTTTAAAACTTAATCAGTCATAAATAAAATTCGTAGTATACATACACATTTACCAATCTGTAATTTATGCATTTTAGCATAGGAATTAGTTGTTGTTCTTATTATGTAAGTGGCATAGAGCTGCACATGTTGCTCTGAATGTAATGCCTCCTATTTATTCCTTCGGAAACCACAACTGATACAAAGAGCATAACAACAATATCTGATAGAGAAAATTATCAGCTAGAAGACACTATTTTTCAGCATAGTCACCATCATTAGCAGTGCACTTTCACCAGCCGTGGACAAAAGCCTGCAAGATGTACTTGTCAAGATCTGCATCGGCAAAGGTGACTTTACAGCTGCTATCATGACATCATTGCTAGGAAAACATTGCCCACGCAGTCCAACTTCCACTGTGCCCAGATCAACTGTTTGGTCTCCATAAGCATTCAGCCACTGTCAATGAATATCAATGGGTACAATATTTTCCACATTGAACAGTTCACCTACACACCTTTGCTTCATCCACTCTTCCACGTCAGAGGTCATTCTGTCAGACTGCCCTTCTGCTGCCATCTATTGCATGGCAACAAAACGTAAAGGAATATTGGTGGAAAGGTTCTATTGCCATACCACCAATATTCACCTCTGGCATCGTGGGCCAACAGAATAAAATAGAAGGCATTATTTTTGGAGCAGCCCTCATCTATTATTTCATTTAATTTGATTAAAACCCCATGGATTCTACAAGAAGGAGAAAACATTAATTCTTGCCATGTATTAAAACACTTTATCAAGTTAATTCTACCAGACTACACGCTTTCATAGCCAGCAGAGCCATAGGTGCTCAAACTTCACACCTACAATGCAACAGTCACCGCACACAACAGTTATTGATGATCCTGATGTAATTTCAGAATCCTACACACAGGCTATTGAAAAATATTATTTATCCAAAGGCAGAAACAATTGCTACTCTGCAGATTTGTTTGCGTGATGATTGTCTACAGCAAATCTTGAAATCGCTGCAGTAGTGCAGCATTCCTGGCAGAGGAGCCTGTCCAGCACAAGGGTAGACCAAGCAGCTTCAGGTTGCAGTTCTTAGCTGACTGGGATGTCTAATTCATTAAGGGTGGTCTGCAGGTGCTACACCTAGCAAGGCCCAGACTACAGTCAGCAGCTGTGTGACACAGCCCATGTTAATTCTCACATTAACCATGTTGTTATTGGCAGGTGAACCTGTTTGGCTTCTTCCCGCTCTGTGGTAAGCCCATTGCTGTCACTAGCTGACCAAGGACTTCTGAAATCCTCAAGATCAGAAGAGCCTTGAATTCACATTTTTTTCTTTGCATACACTGAGCACACAGATGGCCAAAAGTGTTTGTACCTGTCAAGAAGTTCTGCAGAAAAAGTTTTCTCTTCTGGGAAACTTAAAGTTGTTCTCAGATCTCCAGCGTTACTTACTCAGGTCTTGAATCCTCTAAATCAATTCTATTCGCTGCCCTGCTGTATTTAACTAATTAAGAACAAGCCCCCTTTTGCCTCTGGTGAATTTATTCCAGCTGGTGGTACTCTAAAAACAAATGGATATTTCTCTGAGGTGTTACAGAAGAAAATGCCCAGAGTTAGGATGCTTCCTACGTCTCTCCTGTTCCATCTCCTTTGCCCTTCACCAGCCCCTCAGCTACCACAAAGTAAACTCTTGGGGGCAGAGTCCTGTTTTGCAGCACCCACAAAATATTTGGAGGCTGCTAACCACCCGTGGGGAGGCAGTGTGTCACTCTGTCACATGCTTGAGCATCAGAATGTATCAATCTTCAAGCAATTGCTGTGAAGACAGGACCTGGTAGATGGTCTTGCCAGACATCAGTTGCTGGATCTTCTCTCTTGTTTGATGAAATGTAGGAGGAAGATTTAGGCTTATCATATTTATCAAAGCTAGGAGTACTTTTTCTAGACATTTTGCTGGTTACTATAGCCAATGCATCCTCAGAGACCTGACCTGTGCTAATAACAACTACCCACCTATAAATGTGAGAAGTGAAGCCAAATTCTTTTTTTGTTTACAACATATTAGAGTCAATTAGCAAAGCTGGGGTCACAACTGGTAAATACACATATGTATCACACATACCATCACATAATATATAAGCATACGCTCTTTTTAATAGGCTAGTTGTGGAAAGTTAACTTCAAGTTAAAAACACACGTTTCCTTCAGAAAACTTTGGATGTGACTGCACATTTCCTAAGAGACTGCTAAAATTGACAGTTCTTGCTTGGGTCTGATTGCAGACACAGTAAGAAAACTTGCATCATTTGGAGTATTTCCTCCATTGACCCATACATTTAGAAAAGGCACAGGCAAACCTGTGTTTAACACAGAAAATGAGGAAGTTCTGCAAACTTTCTTGTATGTCAGCTCAGATCTGTTCACACTGGCACAGGTTGCCCAAGGAGGCTGTGGGTGCCCCAAACCTGGAGGCATTCAAGGCCAGGCTGGAAGTGGCTCTGGGCAGCCTGCTCTGGTGGTTGGCGACCCTGCACACAGCAGGGGGGGTTAAAACTCAATGATTATTGCAGTTCTTTTCAACCCAGGCCATTCTATGATCTGTTCTGCTCTGATTCAGCAGTAAAGTTGATGAAGTTAGGTATCAGTGCTATTAGCAGGGCATCCCTGGTTCACAGCTACAAGAGGAAAGAGATCCAGATCATCCAAAGCCTTTGAGCCATGGGCACATGGCAAAACCTCCATATTGGCACACTAGATACAAACCCTGAAAGTATTTGGGTAAGTTAGCAAAGGAAGGCCATAGTGCTTAGAATGTGTGACTGAATGAACAACTCCTTGCAGCTATGTGGAAGGAGATAACTCCATTCAGGTGGTATAGGAACAGTGTAATTGGCAACATAATGGTGAATGTTCCACCAAAGTATACATGCATGTTTTTCCATACATTCACAATGTAGTATGGTACACATGAATTATTGTACATTTTCTTGTGATCAAATGCATGTTCGGATGTGCCAAGAACCGTACCTTGACTCAAAATAACTTTCCCAAGAGAAAGAAAGAAGTTACACACAAAAGAAAAACACTAAAAAGATGTAGGATTCAAATAGTACCCTGACCTTTGCAAAGATGAATAACACATGAAGCGTGCCAGCAATGCCACTAGGCTCCCTGCCTCTCAGCTGTCCATCGCACATCTCAGTGCTGCCAGTAGCCACTCCAATAGAAATAAGCTTCCCTTTAAACCAACAGTCTTGTTGACCAAACTAGTCATCTGTTACACTGTACTTTCATTTATTCCATACCAAAAATCTTGGTTTACTGTCTTGTAAACTGCCAGATTAAGTTATAAATCCTTGACCCTCCTTTTGCAAACAGCTCCTGTTTTCCTTTGTTACTCTCAATAAGCACACACACACACACACGCAGCTGAACTTGGTACTTTACTTCTATTTGTTTTCTCTTATCATGTTAGTAAGTGAAAAAAAGATTCTCCAGAATTCCTCTGTAATTTAGGAATGATAAATCTGATTTCAAGAGTGACATAATTTGGGACAGTTAGTTCCCATTAAATAATCATTTTTTTCTCGTGCAAGATAAACAGAATAATTCACATTTAATCACCTAGAGGTTTTCTTAGTTAAAACCCTTCTTCATGCGCTTTGTAACATCAGAATAGTATTTTATAACTTATTTTCACCTCTCCTTTGTTCGGTATAAATATTATCTTATCTGCAGCCACACGCTGCTCCATGCCACTCCTCTGGCACAGTTTGCTTTGCACAGCAGGGCGTCTCACACTGTGGGGATTCAGTGATTTTGCAACTCCAAATTGTTTAACATTCAGAGATTTTTTGATACTTCATTTCTCTTTAAGCAATGTAACCAGTGGATCTCGCAAGGAATTTGCTATCAGATTTTACCTTCGCAGATTCCCCAGCGAGTCGCTAACGGTGTTCTTCACCTCTTCCTTTCCTGGGTTAAAAAACCTTTCCTTCAGCGAATCAAACCCTTTGAAAGGCATGTTGTCCTTTTTCCTGTCGTTAACAAGCGCTCAGTTCTGTTGACATATTTCCCGATGCCAGACTCAGGAGTCTGTTCTGGTCCCCTCGGTGACCCCTAAAATGACAACCAGTTGCTCAAGAAAGGAAAACAGAAAGAAGAATTCAGAGCAGATCTTCCCAAGCCAGCAGGCCAGTTCGGGAGAGCGGTAGTGTGGAACCCCTGGCAGTGCTCAGGGTGTCGGCAGCACACTTGCAGCAGCTCCACCGTGCATCTGTACACCTCTCGCTGCTTTGCCAGGGCTCGTCCTCTCCGCCTGCCTCCCTCCTCCCTCCCTCCCTCCTTCCATACGGAGAGCTGTGCGAGGTGGTGCTATAGTAACAGGCACAATACCTGTCCTCAGGTCACACCGGTTCAGGAGCAGGACCTCATCTACAAAGGCAAGAAGTTTATTAAAAATTGATGAGCCCTTTCTGCAGCAAGGGGAAGGCAGGCTGCGGCGCTCATTCTCTATTTACGCCAACCCAGGTGGGCCGTTGCCTTCTGCATCTGCTGAAGGACCCGTGGCCTCTGTCCCGGCCCTAGCATTAATTATGGATGCTGCCAGCCCCTTGGGCTGACAGGCACAGAGCTGCACTGCCACAGTGCTGTTTGACTCATAGAATCGCTAAGGTCGGAAAAGACTGCTAAGATCACGTGGTTCAATCAAGCAGCGAAAGACTGGCCATGAATTAAACGCAGTGTATTTTCAAAACACAGTGTGGTCGAAAAAGGTGAACCGTTTCAACTCAGCCTGAATTTGTGATGGTAACGTGCCTTTCCTAGCAAGGAAAAGAAGCATTTCATGCAAATTCCTGTGGAAATGCTGCCTCACCAAGCCTCCGTGTTGGCTGGAGTCAAACATAGCAGGCCTCACTCATCAGGGAGGGGAAAGCCTAGGAACTGGGGAGGCTTTACTAGGCTGGAATCTCTCTTGCTGCAGAACTGGTTACTGTTTCTTTCTGCCTCTTGAATAATTGACACACTCTACAGCAGCTTTGGAAAACTCTAGGTTCAGCACAGGTAACCAGCACATTGGGTCTAGAAAACAGCCCTCCCACAGTGAGCAAAGGGGGAATGAGGCTGCAAGGCCATCTCCTAGCACTTACCCCCCATGCACCTCTGGCAGGGTAGCAAGGTCATTGCTTTGGGAACATGGGCCCAGTACAATCACCCATACACAGCAAAGCTGGGTCTCCACTTTTCAAAGGGGATCCATAAAACAAAGTATAAATATTTGTAGAGATACGCACATGTAGAAGCATATAATGAAATTGTCTTACATTTCAGTAAATATGTATTTACTTTGTAAGAGAGCTTGCTCATCTTGACAAGTGGTTTTCAATCCATCTCTTCCAGAAGTCGTAGAGCAGAAGCTTTTAATTTGTCCCCATCCCGGTCTTCTGGTCCTGCTTCAGTTAAAGGGAACACACACCAGAAAGAAGCTGTGCTCTATATTTAATGCCTTATTCACCTACCCACACACACGAGTTGCATTTACTGTGAAGTCTGTCTGTCATGCAGTTGGAAAACTTTCAAGCAGCTTCCCCAGAGCTTTGCATCAAGTGGGTGGGTATGTTCCCCTCATGGCCATCAACACTCTCTCCCCACCTCTGAAGATGCCCAAGGCCATGTTGGATGGGGCCCTGTGCAGCCTTATCTGGTGGGTGGCAGTCCTGCCCATGACAGGGGGTTGGAACTGGGCGAGCTTTAAGATCCCTTTCAACTCAAACCATTCTCTGCTTCTGTGTTGCACACCTCACCTCTAGTACAACTGTCTATTTCTCACAGCAGTTGTCACCTCTCCCTGCCCTTTAAGGTTTGCAATCCTTCCACTGCCTGCAGTTCTGCTATGCCACAGTAGTGGCCACTTTGCAATTTCCTAATCTCTTCCGTAAGGCTTAAAGCAACAGTGTTGCTAACTCACATTTATGCAGGGAGGCTTCTGAACAGGAGCAGCACAGCTTCTTGCTTCCCCCTCTCTGGGTTCAAAGGCTGGCAAAAGACCCTGATTCCAAGCAGCTGATGCAGGTCCAAGGAGCTCTGCAGGGCTCTGCTCCTGATGGACACTTTCCACGAAGCATCACACAACTCCCAACAAGAATGCGCTAGAAGAGGCAATTGCAACCTCTGCACAATCCCTGAATGTATTTTGGAGCACCATCTGAGCACAATCCAGGTCTGCATACGCAAATAAATACTTTGTGAAATTAAAATTACTCCTGGCTACATACAGACTGTAGCTATAACTGGAACTACAGACTCATATCACGAAAGGCTCTTGCAAGGCTATATTGAAACTGTATTTTAGAGACATAAAACCAGTATGTAGACAGCGACTGCTGGGGCTCACCTGCTATCATTATAAATAATAATCATAAGAATAAAATGAATAAGAATCAATAATCAAATAATAATCAAGAATAAAATGAGTTTTAAGAAAACTCAGATGTTGACTCTTACTCTAACTGTGCATGGAGGGCACATAGCTGGATTCAGGTTGGCAGCATCCTCTCAGGAATGCCAGGCAAGAAAACATCAGAGCTAGCAGGAAACAATTCTCAGTTGTACGTGGTTAAGTAAATGTACACCTGGAGGCTGCCTACTTTGTTAGAGCTATTTCTTTTGTTGAAAAGCCTAGAAAAATCATCTTTATACTGCTTCTGCTTTTGACTGCTCAAAATAATGTTTAGGGTAAAACCTGTCAGTGAAGGGGAGAATTTTGCTACCGCTTGCAGTGTGGGCTGGATAGCATAGACTTTACACACGCAGTGTCACTTAAAAGGCACACCTCTTTTGACTGTGGTCCCTGACACAGCCTTGCAGGCAGACATTTCTACTAAGGCTTGTAAACCAGAAAAAAAAACCAACACCACTCAAGAGACCCTACGAAAGTCAGTTTAACCATCTAGTTTTGGAGAATTAGCAGATAATTCTTTCAGTTCAGGCCAGCCTTCACCAAAGGCTGCTGGGGTCCCTCAATGGAACCATATGCAGGTGCGCAAAGCATCCTAAAGCCTGGCCAGTCCAAGGCATACTGTTAATTTTTAATCTGTTTCTTCTCTGTTTCAGGCCATGTGATCATGTCCCTGTTGCTTGTGAGCTGCTCATTGGATCACTCTTGTTATTCCCTTAGAGAAACATCATTTTGTAAACCTGGTTAAACCTAAAGCAGAGCAAGTTTGACAATGCTCTTCTCACAGACAAGACCTTGTTTAAAAGCTGCCTCAGAGATTTGATGGCATCTTATCAAGTGCGTGCTACCCTGCTGCTTATTGCTTGAAGTAATGTAGCAACTACTCCACTAAAAAGTGTTGAAATTGGCTCAATAATTAAAGGAAACATAGAATAACAGACAAGACTATCACATGTACTTTGTAGTGGTAGGATAAATGCTAAGAGCCACATTAGGTGCTCCAAGAAATCGTAAGAACATAAATTAGAAAGCATGAGAGTCCTTATCTAAATGGATATATTTTGCTTTCTTCTCTTCAGACAGAATTAAAGTCATTTAAAGCTGAAATTATCAGTTCACCTCAGGAGGCAAAGCATTAAGTAACGCAGATAAAACTCTCACAGCAAGAGGCAAGAGTTGTAATGTGGCGCTTCTGAGCACAGTGCTCTGTGCACAAGGAACAAGAACGCTCTGATGACTCCTGCTGATGGTCAGCTCCTTCAGTGGAGGGGAGTGCAGAGGTCTGTAACCAGTCATTTCCTAAGAAAAAAAGTCAACTGTGAATTTTATGTGAGAGTCTCTTTCAGCCATGGTATTTCCAAGAGAAACCATAACTACAGGTACGGTAAACAAAACCAAGAAAAAGAACATATCTGAATATCTGGAGGTACTCAAACCCCGCCTGGACACGCTCCTGTGCAGCCTCCCGTCGGGGTCTGCTGTAGCAGTCGGGTTGGATGTGATGACCTCCACAGGTCCCTTCCAGCCCCTGTGATTCTGTGAAGAAACAGAGACTGGGGATGTTAACAGCAAATCAATAACGAGAGAAAGAAATAGCTTTCTTTATTGGAAACTGCTAATAGAATGAGAATTTCTTGCACCTTACACCGTGGGTATATTTCTATAATATTTGCAATTTACTTGGAAGTTGCTTGGGTTACAGTGACACCTTATGGTAGTTTTATTGTATTTTACAGGTCTTAAAACCTTTAAAGCCTGTCACTGCCAGTGAGGAACTGCTCTGATATATTTAGAAAGCTTTTTCCTTTAAGTTGCTCAAATACATGCTTAGAATATATTGTAAATTACTTTTTAAAAAGCACTGAATAGCTAATATTTATTTAGCTGTTCGTGTGCTTGTGCATAGGTAGGAAAATGCTTTTCTCACATTAGGAGTCAGCTCCCAGTCTACCAAGCAACTGCAGTGTAATGATGTGAGTGCAGGGAGCTTCATAGATCCTGGACAAAAACACATCTGTCTCTAGCAGCAGGAGAAGAATATCAAATGAACCACTGCTTGCACAACTCCCCACAAATTGCTCATTTCTTACATTCCTCACAGCTTCACACATGATATGGTAACAGCTTTATAAACACTGACATAAGAATGATTAATCTAAAGCTTTGGTATACTATATACTCAAAAGGAGGGACTAGAGATACTAAGTAAAGGGATGAAGTGGAGACATACTTCATCCAGCATCAAAGTGTCCCAGGTAATGAACAATGAAATGCAAAGTTATTCAGCTTTTCCTGTTTGACACATAGGTTAGCTGCATTAATGAAAGAATTCGTGAAATTGTGATTTCTAAGGCGCTGCAAACCAACCCAGAACATGTGGATTACAGCACTTTCTTGCTCAAGATACAGACAGTAGTTACAGATCCAATCAGTGCCTAGGAACAGAGAGGATGAAGAGAACCACTAGGACAGTAAAAGGTACTCGAGTCAGAGATCATGACTGTGATTTTCATTGTGGGATGCCGTTGAGTTTATCTTCACTGGAGCTTCACTCTCTTCTCTCCTATGACCAGTGAATGAAATACGAGAAAGCTGCCCTCCCTGCTGTACTTTCCTCTCTTACCAGCCCCAGCCAAGGATGATCCTTCTAAGCAGATGAGATCTCTGACATCACATAGTTGATCAATTAATGTCATGAAAAATTTGACCACCACCCTCCTTCAAAGTGCTGGTAAACTCAAGAGCCTGACAACGCAGCAGAGCCTGAAACCCAAGCTCAAAGTAAGTGATGTTTCTTAAGAAATGAACAGTGAAAATGAAAATTTAGATCACTATGCGGCATCAGAACGCCAACTTCAAACACGGGCTTAGCGTGCTTTCAGAAAAAGTAAATGTTAATGTCAGAGTTATCCTACCTGTCAGCTCTTCCCCACAACTTCTGTTCCTTCCGTGAGGGAAATACATGATCAAATTTCACAGGCACCACTTTAAGAAATGAAATTATGTTCCATAATCCATAATTCAAACAAAATATAGTGATAAGGTTCTCCACAGAAGTTAGTATTTTATGGAGATCTAAAATCAAATTATCTTTCAACACAAATATATGAAAAGTTCATTTATTTCCATAGGCAACCTCATTCACAGTACAAAGTGATAAGAATTTCTCAAAACAGTCACTGTACCTTTTACATATTTTAAGTAATTGATCTAAAAGTTGATACAAGAATAAATTTGTTTTTGAAGAGCTGTCCATTAAATTGGAGATACACCAATGCCATGCTATGACAGTTCTAATCATGAATCACAGCTGACACTACAGTAACACTACTTCATAAATGAGGATCTTCATGTTTTACAATCAACACATAAAATTGCCACTAGTAGAGACTGTACGATTAGACAAATAAACAAATATTAAATATTTTGCACAAGGCCTGAGTTCACTATAACATATTTTGATTTACAACTCTCAGAAATCTGTACAGCAGTTAGAATTGTTTCAGAGAACTCAAAGACGATACAACTTCACAGGCTTGTATGTTCGGTTGATAGAGGTGTGAGGCCTGGAAGGCAAGAGGATTTGGTGTATGAATTCAAGGTTTTACTGCCTTGCGTAATTTCTTTGTAAAGCAGCCAAAACCTACTGGAAAGATAGATACAAAGCAGGACCTCACATGAAAATCAGCTCAATCATCCGAAAATCTCCAGACAGGTTTCCTCACAGCTATTTCAGAATAAAAGTTCATAATAGAGTATATAAAATGCAGCATATCTCTTAACAAAGAACATAAAAGGGTTATGTGTACAGCAAGATATTTCTGTATTCCCCTTCCTCGCGTTTCTTTAGTTGGAAGTGGCACAAATCAGTGATATTTCCCTCCTCCATAAAGAACTCATCAATGAACAAAAATCACTGTGAAAACAAGGGACTCAGTCTCCACAAACTTACCTTTTAAAAACCATTCTTTTCTGCTCAAGTTGTGTAGGTATGGGCAGACTAACTGAATTAATTTATAATACATAACAAAGCAGCATATAATCGTTTGCCCAAATGGAAGCCTTGTAGAATTCAAATTAAATTTTAAACTACTTTTTTTTTTTGTTTGCTCTCCTGGGTTCCCCTCGAACTGAAAAAAATCTGTAGTCTTGTAGTCTAAATACACACTTACCTATCTGTAGACATACACACAAAAGAGGTTACAATACTAAAGCTACCACATTTTCCTTACTCTAAGGTGCCACTGGGATATTTATGGAAATATATGTGAAATAAATGTTGCTACAAACCTTAACAGAAAAGTTTTAAATCGTTAAGACTTAGGTGCACAATATTTCAAGCATTAAAAACGCAACCTTTTACTTGGAGTACTCAGCACCTGGGCAGACCAGTAAGGCCTCAACTTCCCCAGGCCACTTCTAATTCACGTCACCATTCAGAGGGGAAGACATACAGTATTCAATAAAACAAACTAGGAAACATCCTATCTCTGTTCTCAGTAAAATTTCTTACTTTGTCTCTCCCATACAGCTGGTGATTCTCTAACTTTCAAAAGACTGGTACTGCCCTTCAGATAAGAAGACTTCACAGGCCTTACTATGCCTTATCCACAAAACGCGTGGGAAAAAGAAAATCTGCTCCTCCCTCCATCCTTGAAATGACACTTGTGCCATTTCATTTCCACTTCTCTCCTCTTGAAAGAAGCAGCTAACTACTCAGCTAACTACTACAAAGCTCACTACTCAATATGCAACTAGTTTCAAGGTTCCTCTCAATCAGCCCCAGTAGTTTCTCAGGCCTCTTTAATACCATCCTTCCACCTACAGAATTAATTTTCTAAGACTGGGTTTTTAGAGAATGCTTCAGAGGCTTTCACACTTCAAGAATTTTGAACCAACAGTTCTAATACGGAAAAACTGCTGTGTTGGTATGAGAGCATTCATTTAACATACACCAGAGCAGCCAAAGGACAACTGCTTAAGATATGCAACAATTTCTACTTCTCTTCTTTGCATTTCTCCTTTTTTGTAAACATTTCATAGACAAATCAATCAAAAAACATTTCACCCTTCTTGTCTTTGCTAATCCTTTACAAATGAATGGGAAGTAAGGAGGAGGGCCAGACAAGCAAAACGGGTGTGCAGGGCAGAGGCTGTATGGTGATGATTCAACCAGTCAGCTTCCACACTTTTTCCTTTAAATTAGGTTGAATATAAAGGGTAGAAATTCTGTGTAACTTACAGAATTGTTCAGATAATGAAGACACATTTTATATCAGGTTACTTTTCCAATAAAGAATTTGCAATTTCTTGAACAGATACTAGTTTTGAATTTGTGTTATCCATTTTGTTTTGCATTAGGGCTGAACAGTCTCCTCTACTTCAGGTCAGTTGAGATGCAGAACTGTTTTCCATCCAAGTCAAGAGATAGAAGGTCTCTGGAATACCCACATTTTGTAATACGGTTCCTTCCTCCTACTCCTTTCTACAAACTGAAATGGATCTGAAGCACAACCGTTGCTTTCAAACACTGGTGTTTACTCTGGCCATAATATAAGTCTTTCATCCTCTTGCAGGGCTTCAGAATGATGATGTACAAGTGAATACATGAACTGGACAATGGTTTCTAAGGAAAGGCTATTGTAGCTGGAGCCAAGTGGCACATGGCACATTGGTGACTTACCTCTTGCAACTCCTCTTCCCTTCAAGTTAAGCGGAAATAATTGAGATGTTCAACATTCAGTTCTCTGACACACTAAATAGGAAGTATGTGCAAAAAAGAGGGATGTGATCCTCTGATTTTAACTGAAATTACTTCTCCAATTTTATTTTTTAATAACTGGAAAAAAATTCTATGATTTTCATAAGCTCCCTGTTTTCTTTGTTTCTATTCATCTACTCTGGACATTCTGAAAACTGAGGCTAACAGAGAAATCAGAATGATCTGTGGAAATGTGAAATAAGAAACATTTCATATCATTTGAGCCACATAAAAATATTATTCCAACACATCAGTATCACAAAAAAGAACTTTAGTTTTATCTTTTAGGATATTTTTTGCTTTGTTCTTACCAAATACATTCTTCAACAGTAGATGCCAAAAGTATACGCCTCAAACCTCAGAGTTCAGCAATCTTACACATAAAATTTGATCACAATATAATCAAAATTTTTCAGTCAACTTTCTCTCCATAAATTAAATCTAATTGAAGTTCTGAAATTTCCCCAGGACAAGAGGATCAGCGGCTAAAAAGCAAGAACAGGACACTGATATTTAAGACTGCCTTTACCATAGATATATTAATTACATACACTGTAGAGTCCCAAGAGATGTCATTTTGAATATAACCTTCTTTTCCAAATAATTCAGAGGAATACAGATTCAAGTAATTTTTCAAAGTCTTGACTTAAGTTATCCTAACAAAATGTAGCTTTCAAAAAGTTGATGTAAAAGAAAACATTAGTGTGATTGAGAATATAGAGTACTAGTAACTTTAAATGAATTTAAATAATTTAACAGTTCTAGTATAGTACTTAGGTTTACACAGATACCTTAATATAACCTATGATGTTTACCATGAATATTAACAGCACATAAGCATCACAATCTGTTAGGCTTTGTTTTCTAAACCATAATTTCACTGGTCCCAGGTATTCTAAAATAATAGGGCTAAGGCAGCAGCTACAATGAACAATTATTTGGGAAATATGCTTAATGCTATTACTACTTAGAGTTGTTGAAGTATAACAAAATACATGTCACATTTACAGCATAAGGCCCTTTGGTTTCTTAAGCAGCAAATGAAAGAACAATTTCTTCAGTGAAAGGCTTTGAAAAATAAAGCATGTAGGCTTTCCATAAAAAAAGTAACTAGTTCTTTCCTTCTTGAAATAGCCAGCTAGAGTCTCCAAAATATTACATAAGAAAGTTCCTGAAATTCTGAGGAAAGAAGAAGTTAAAATCCAACAGTAGTATCTGACAAAGCAGAGATTTTATCATGGGCAAGCTGAACGTCTACCTTCTGCAAACTAGAACAAACTACTGCTTCTTTTTCTGGAGAGCTTTATTAAATTTGGAGTAATACAATAAAAAGGATCTGAAATATCTGTGTATTTGTCATATATTCTAGAGCTTACAAATCTGTATTTGAGAACTTACTTCACATTAATCCATCCTCCATAAGGACTTGAGTTAAAATAAAACTAAAATGAAATAGTTTATTCTAGTCAAGGCAATTAATGGCAGTCTGCTTTTTCACAAAACCATGTGAAACTTCTAGGCAGGCAACTCTTTCCCATCTTCCCAACAGTGTCCAAACCAAGTAATTCAAGACATTTCCGTTACCAAATCAACTGTAAGAAATTGGGGCAGTCAACACTTGAATTTTACAGACATTTTTTTTTCTGGGAAATTCTGAAACTACTCATACCGTTCTTTTCTTCCCTCTCACCAGTCAAAAGCAGTATCAAGCAAACAAAAACTATCCTGAAATGAATAGCAAATGTGACTGAATCACCACACGTATTTTTAAATCCTGCTTATGTGGTATGTGGCTTTTGCCATGGAGTTGGTAACAAGGATCTGATGTTATAAAACAGGTTGTCAACTGTAGCAGAACTTTCCCACTGCTCAAAATTTGCACAGAATTCTAAAACCACTTTATCTTGTAGTTTACTACCACATCAATTCTAATTATCTCACAAGTGAAGAAAGGCAAAATGTTTTTTCATAGTGTCTCACACAGTTATCAGGTAGATATTTCTATGTAACGTGGCTACCAAAACATTCTGTGTCAGCGTAAGAATTTACTTTCTGGAAACTGTCATGGGATATTGTAACAGTTGGTACCAAATTCAGATGACATAAATCGTTAACAATAGCTGAATTCAGCAGGCACCAAAAAGACTGATCCACAAGATAGGACAGCACTAAGTTGCATTTCTTAGTGTTATTATCCCCCTAAACATTTCTGTTTAAGAAATGCAGCTTTGTTTAAATTCAGGAACTGTGAATACACTTCTTAATAATTTTTAAACATTTAGCTCCTTCTTTTTCAATTGAATTTATGCATCCTACCTTCAGTGCTTTGAAGCTGGGTAAAAAGATGGGAAATCTTTAGCACGCAAGATGACTTTGCACTTGCACAATTCCACTGCAGTACCAGGTGAATGCAAAAATCAGTCCTTTTTCCGGTGCAGAAATCTTTACCTTGCTGGATGAACTTCCCCCAAACCATGCTTTTATCATTAAAAAAAGATGTTAATCAGCTTACCCACGATTCAAATTATATCAATCTTTGAAAAAAGAAAAGACACACATTACCCAAAAAGATCTTTTAAGTCATTACTAGCTGAGCTGCTGTTTGTCATTGTGTTTGCTGGTTGTGCAAAGTTCTGAGGAGCAAAGAAAGGGTTACCCTGTATACCAAAGCCAGTCTGTCCTATCATGTTCATCTGAGGCCCCATGACTGAACTGCTCACACTTGGAGACCCTTGTGGGGGCACAAACTGATTGACCCACTGGTTTGATTTCTGTTGAGCCAACTGTTTCATACTAACTTTGGGTTTTTGAGGACCAAAAAGATTATCTAAAGCAGACATATCTGGGGGTCTGTTTGGTTGTGTCAGTGGAGAGATCGCAGACGCAGCATTCATAGGACTGTAATTTGGCATACTGGCTGTTGGTACGATGCTCATCTTGGTTGTTCCTGCTGCACTTGGACCACTGAAGAAATTCTGAGCAGTAGGACCACTTCCCATACTGAATCCAGCAGTCTGAAAACCCATATTAGTATTTAGTCCGTTTGTCATATTTCTCTTTGTGCTGTCGACAGGTGATGAAAATCCCATTCCAACACCCATACAAGAGACAGAAGAGAAGCTGTTTGAAGATGCCACTTTAGCTTTGTTGATAGAATGGCTGGTCAAAGATGACATACTGTCTATTAAGGTATCTGTCAAATCTTTTGTCTGCAAAATAGATAAATATTAATATATTAATATAATATATATTATATTAAATATATTCAATATATTTCCTGTACATATATGCCAGCAACAGTTTTTAATCACTGCTCCCGTGGAACTGGCACTCATTTTTTCCAGAAATTCTCATTTATTGCATGGAATTGGGTACAAATTGTAAACTAATTCACCTCACGTACAATTATTTTCACTCTTTGCTACTTGGAACTGTTTTGCAGCTTCGGCTTGACAACTATGACTATACAGCAAATAGTGTTAGGCATATACTGAGTATACCATTTTCTTGCACGTCCCATTCTCAACTCCACGCCCTCTTTATTAGTTAGGTGAACAGTTTTGAACAAAATCATCTTTTTCTATCTGCTTTTCTCATATCTAACACAATGGCCATCCACTAAAAATGATGTCTTTGGAAACTACTGCACTTTAAAAAGAGGGAAATACTGCTAATGATGCAAATACATGACAAATTGCAATTTAGTTTTTCACAACTGTAACACTGTACTGCAGGTGAAAACAAAGATGACTCACAGCAGAGAAAAACTGCTAAAAGCATACAGCAGGTGAAAAAAAATCACAGCAAAGTACTGTATTGTTTCTACTGGAACTGTATCTCACCTGCTTCACTGGAGGTGTTACTGAACTTGCTAGTGGCTTAAGAGGTTGCTGGCTTTTCAGTTTCTGTGCCTGTTCCTGTTCTTTAGCTAACTTTTGCTTCTCTTCAAGTGTAAGTGATGCCTTTAAAAGAGAAAGTACTAAGTTGAACAGTATAACTGCTTATTGTGTTTTTGATTTTTTTTTTTGGTAATAAATAGCACAATCATTTCAGAGCAAAAAATGGATAAGCACATACTGATAAAAAGTATTTAAAGCAAATAATAGTAAAACAGCATGATGAGAAATTCTGGGCAGATCTCAAAGTAGTTTTTCAAAAAAGTCATTTCAGCTTTGACTTCTAAATATTGGGTGTAAGAAGAACTTCTCCGTTTTTTTGGTTTTTTTTTGTTTTTTTTTTCATATGATTACTCACTGGCACTTGATAAAGAATTTCAACTGACAGTGTTGTTTATTTCAAGATCATTTAGATCTTTCAGGATTCTAATTCTACTTTCTTTAACAAATGATAAAATTGTAAAATTGTTGCCCTTTAGACTAAAATTAGGAAGAGAATTCAGATGACAGAAATGATACAGAAACAGAAGTGATAAACTACCTACAATCTGGGGGAGTGACTTGTTGATAGCCATGGCTAACAGCAATGACAATAATTTTATCACTGAATACTAACTATAATCACAGGCTGCATCATGACATGCTTATTCTTTGTTTCTTGTATTTATCCTCATATTGGCTGTTTTCATTTAACTTTGAATTTTTACACTAGCTGTTATTGTCAGCTACTTTATGAAATTCTGTTTTTGATCTCAACCTCTATTTGTGATTTTATAATAAAGTTGCCTGGCCATTTTGATTTGGCAAACTAAATCCACTGCTGCAGCTTCAATTTCATATCCTTAATTAAAGAGGTGTGACCAAAAACATATTATCCTAATCACTGACTTCTTTGTTCAGAGAAGAGATATTTTCAAGAAAAGACTTTCACAGAAATTCAAAGATGCTATTTGAACATTTTTCAGTGGATCTTCACATGTGACTGGGTTACACAGACTGGGTTACACAGACTGGGTTACACTGCTGTACTTTACAGAAAGTTTTTTTTTCTATAAAGCTTTAAATACAGTAAATATGTTTACACATTCTATTCATGTAGCCATACCAAACTTAAATTAGACAAAAAGATGTAAGAACTCCAGAACAAAGAAAAGCATACCTTTTTCTGTACTGCTGACAACTCATTTCCTTTACTATCAGGTCCACTAGTTAGAAGGTCAGTTCCAGTATTATTGAATACCTTGTCAATCTGTTTAAGGTTAAAGAATCAACACTAAGTTATTTGAATAACTTTAGGTAATGTAAATGCTATGTGATATTAAATTTCAAATTTCGATGCTTAAGTAACACAATAAAATACAGACTCTTACCTGATTATTTGTACTACTAGATCTTGCCTCTTCAGACACACTCATTTGATTAGCTATATCCAAAGATCTACAGGGTGCAGAGTACAAATATTTAAAACAAGGAAACTACAGTTACATCCACTACATTAATTTAGCAGCACAGATTTAAAAATAAACAAAATGCTATGAGAGCACTGTCATATTCAGAATGCATATTGTTTGTGCTCTCAACAGCTACAGAAAAGTAACTATTCTTGGTGTACAGATGTAAGGTACAACTGTACTGGTGGAACTCAATATAGACTTCTATATTTAATGAATTCCTTAATTAATGAAACAATAAATTGTGAGTGAACAGTGTAAAGGAAATAATTTTATACTATTAAAAACAGACATCAAAATAATACTCATTCCATGACTAATAAACAGGTGTTGACAATTGCATTTATTTGATGTAATTCTCTACCACTGAACTGAGAATTACATACATTTTTATTGCTATGGCTAAAAGTTATCTCAAATTTTCCTAAAGAAATGAAGAAAACCCCCAAATTTTATCTCTGCTCGCTTAGTCCATCCCTAACGCACCCACAAACACTTACTTCTGTTGCTCTTGCATGACATGAAGTTGTTCAAGTTTTGTTTTATGCTCTGCCTCCAATCTATTAAGCATATCTTTTATAACACAAATAAAAGAATTGAACTGGAAAAGAAAAGTACAAGAAGTTTGGATTTTGCAGTGACAGAATTCAGACATATAACCTAAAAGGTAATCTCTCACAAAAGGTAGTCACAATGTGAGATAAACTACAGGCTTTTAGATTATTTATAATCCGGCTTCACTATCCTCTGTTAGGTACTTGGCTACAAGCAGAGTGTATACTGAAACAGTGAAAATAATGTATCACTAATAAAAGGATAGCATCACAACAGAAGGGAGACAACTCAGACCAAAAAAAAAAACCAAAACCACAACCAGATGAATATTACCAGATTCATTCTCAAAAAAAATAAAAAAATAAAAAAAATCCTATTAGGTATCTTATTTCCTAATTATTTCATGCAACTACTACATTTTCACATTATCTACAACATTCACAAGCAAAACTAAGGGAAGAAATACTAAGATCGTATTTTAGCTTTTAATTTCAATTGTAATTATGCTAGTTGTTCACTTCTTTTGCAGGCTATTTGGAAGGTGACAGCATTCACTTTGAAATTTTACACTGTTCTAGCAAAATTGACTGTAAATCAACAACACTCAGACATGCAAAGAGTAATATCAGAAGAGGATTTATTTCATTTCATTTCTTACAGTAAAGAGACCTATAGCAGTGTATGAGTTTTTCAGTGATAACACTTTAAAACTATTCTCGACCATTTATCAAGTAAAAGCATGCAAAGTATTTCTGTTCCTACCTGATTGAGATTAAGATTATTCTCAATACTAAGAGGAATTAGATGGGGCAATACTCTTCCTGCAAGTTGTTCTTTGGTAATTCCCAGCTTCTTATGAGTAAATGTACATTTGTAAATACCTGCCATACAACATCAAAATAGAAAGCCTGTTAAATTTCGTAAATAATGTTAAAAAAATTCCAAGTGGAATTTCTTTCTACATGTATAAATCATCTGAATATACAATGGTACACAAACTGACAAATAGCAACCAAGAAACCAATCTGCATTAACTAAGCCCCAGTTCTCACCTGGCACTTCAAGAGACCAGGAGTAATTGTCATGCTACCATAACTTCTACCCTGAATGCATTTTACAAAGACTTCTACCTAAAGGTTTGGGGCTGTGTTATACACAGGATCAGAAATCGCGAGACATATTTTCTCTGTTCTACAAATCACTTATAAAGAAAAAGAGAGAATACTGACATGCACAAGTGATACAGCATCAAGCACAGCACTTCTATTGAGTTTCTGGCAGGAGGATTCCTCTGTTTAAACAGTTCCCGTCTGCTGGCAAACACTGAACATACTGGCACAGTACAGGAAGAAGCTTTCCTCACTTTCCATGGTTAGTATTAGAACAGAGCAGTCAGATGGCCGAAGAAGGTATCATGCACAAGATGGAAAGTGTGATTCCAAGAAAAAATGAACCCTAGTATATTAAATTGCTTTCAGCCCTTCATTTTCAACAGCTGTACTCAACTAGAGTTCAGGAATAATACAATTAAAGTAAAAGATACACTGCCTCTTATTCTCAGACAATAAATGTAAGAGTTAGAAACTAGGAAATTAAGGGAGAGAGAATATCTCTAAATTATTACAGATAGATGCTCTCTTGCTGACTTCAAGCAAATTAAAATAGTTCTCCCATCACATTTGTTACTGTGATGTCACAGCTTAATGAGGGTTATTGTCCAGACAGTTCAACTATCACAAACGGTCATCTGTCTACCTTTTTGCTGCCACTAAGTGAAACGGTCACTGTTCTTCTCACTTGGCCACTGATCAGCTGGTCTCCTTTAATACTCAAGCTATTAAAAGTGTGCATCCTAAATTGGCCACACACCAGAGTGGTACTAGGAAAGCTTAGCTCAGCACTGGAGGTCTCCCCTTCCAGAAGTAACGAGCCATTAGATTTTCTTAGCTGTTTTGTGAAACCTCACCCAGACTACACTCCATTTTAGCACAAAGGTAGCAATGTTTGCTTAAATGTCCAATAAAATGAGTCTGACAAAACCTGCAGTAAAGAGCAATAGATTTGCACAGCAATGACTTACAGCATCTGGCCTGCAAGAGCAGGCAATATTAACACCTTAAAAGCTCCAGCCAAGTGCTCAGCATTTGAAAGCAAACAGATTGCATACTCTTCTGTATCCTCTTCAGCCCAAGGATAGCAGAGCGCTCTGAAGTGCGCTGGGCCTTGACGACTATAAATGTATGTACTAGAGATCAGAAGTACCAGCAATACATAAAGTAAATGAACAGGGACATACTTGTGAAGCAGAGACAATCAGTTTTTAATAGACACAATAGCAATATGCTATGGAAATATTATTAATGATTAAACTCTCTGAGATTTACAAAATCAAAAGCATAAGAGAGGAAAGTTTGAAGTATTAATTACCTAGAATTCCCATTAGTACTGCAGGTTCCTTGGATGGAATTTGTTGTAGAAAAGGTAGAATATCATCAAGAACGAACCATTTATCTAAGTACTCCAAAATCTTCCCTAAACAGACCAGTGAGTTTACCCGGACCTAGGAAGCATAAGAATGAAACAAAATCTTAACCATGTGTTTATTTTAGAAGCCACAGAATTCATAAGTAGAGAAGTGGTTCTCAAACTACAGCCACTGTGTCTGAAAATTCAGTACAGTTTGAAACAAACTTTTGTGTCAGGAAAAGAAAACATACAGTTGTACACCGCTCACAGAATCTTGGCTTTTCTGCAAAACAGGCATTACTAGCATATGGTGCTCAGAAACGCACATTAGAAATTGCTCTATTAACAACTTAATGTTGTCAACACTATTTTAAAAATTCCTAAGTGTAGAAGTAAATTCTTTTGAATTTGAAAAAAAAGAAAACTCAAAAAAAAATCTGGGCATGCTGTTTGGGTTTCCTTTGAAAACACAACAGCCAAAAAGCCAAAGTAATGAAAGGCAACAACATTTTCTGAGGACCAAGAAGAAGACAAGATTTCAGAATACTTACAGCAAGAGAAGAAGTCTGCAAACATGCAGTTTTAATTCTTGGAATTAGTGAATTTTTCATTGATGGGTAATCTATTAAATTGGCAAATGTGGGAATTATGTTTAGGCAAAGCTCCTATAAAAAAATATTCCACATTAGTTTAATGTTCCACAAAAGTTTAAATATGACTTCCTATTATAAAATTAGTACTAATATTACTCAAGATTGAAATAGCTTGAAATGTCACCCTAAGCTTTCAGTTTAATGAAATGTTCAAGTAGGTAGACTCATTTAAAAATACCTAAAACAATAAAGCATAATGTTATGGAGATAGAATTTGGAAAACGTACTCGAAAGCGTATTCATACATTTGTAGTAAGATACTTGGATAACAAGAATATCTTGTATTTTCACAAAGCACCTTTGTGTATGTTTTATTACAAGACAATCACAGTGCATTATTTTTCTACAGAAGTTAAGCAAATTTGAGTAAGCACTATGAATAGCATTATGCACCAGGAAAATGACACACTGAAAGATAAAAGAGTGTATTTAACCAACAGAAAAAAAAAAATTACTCAATTTCAGCCTAATCTGAAGAGGTAAGAGTGATATTTACTATAGATGGCAAGCAAGTATTTGAGGAACAAAATTACTACTGCAGAGAAATCTCAAGTCACATATGTTTATCCAAAGTCTTCTTTAATTAATATTATGTTTATCTCCCTCCTCCCACTCGTGAATGTCTAAATGGGCATTAATTCCAATAGAAGTTGATTCCACTCGCAGAGCAAGCTAATTCCAGTGGAAAATTTGCAAAAATCAAAACAAAAACAGCAAAGTTAGAAATATATAGAAAGCACAAAGAAAAATTAAAATAAGGATATATAAAAATGCCACCAGAAATTGTACTAGCATGATTTTACAGCATATTGTATCTTCCAAGGTAACTGTCAGTACATATCTTCTTACCAGTAGAATCCCAGAACGCCACCCATCACTAACTGGTAGCCACCGGTATCACTAACTGCTGCTGGAACAGGCTGCCCAGGGAGGCTGTGGATGCCCCATCCTTGGAGGTGCTCTAGCCCAGACTGGATGGGGCACTGGGCAGCCTGGTCTAGTATGAAATGGGGAGGTTGGAGGCCCTGCTTGTGGCAGGGGGGTTGGACATTCATGATCCTTGAGGTCAATTCCAACCCTGGCCATTCTGTGATTCTGTAAGTTATTGCATGTATGTTTTCTGCAGAGGCAAGACACGATAAAGGTACATTCAACTCTTTGCTATGGTATTTAGTAAGAATTTAGGATGTTGGAGTAACAGTCAAATGGTTACTCTGGAAAATCAGAGAACTAAAGTTTATTTTAATATGCCAAATTGTTCTTAAGTAAAACATTATTCTCTTTCAACATTCAAGTATATTATACAGCTATATTCTTTGGGTTTTTTTCCCCTCATTCAAGTAACCAGACAAAAAGTTAGTATATCTGAAAGAAAGACAAAAGACCTGCTGAGCAATGTTAAATAAAGGCTGCAATTACTATACCTGGATCTGAATTGAAGGTGCTTCCAGGGCTCTATAAACCATTGGTAAAACACTGTTCTTTATTTCGTCTGGTGGAGTTTTGGTTAGAAGTAAGTCCATCTTTTGCAGGAAGATCAGTAAAATCTATTAAAAGAAGGACAGTTAGGAAGTTAAAAGGTTAAGTTATGAGTACATCTTTCTGGAGTTAAAAGTGCATTGCACCATAACATTAAAACTTCAGAAGTTTTCTTGTAACTCAGTAAATGTGATCACTTACCATGTTGCTTGCCTGAAGGCATGGAAAACAAAAAACACTTTGACATATTACTGCATTTTTAAAACAGCAAATACAGATCAAACAAAATATGTCTTCTAGACTAATACTTCTGAAATTAGAAATCATAACAGCTGAGAAGGGCATTATTGTTTCTATTTACAACTTTTTGTTTTTTTTTTAAATTAAAATCAACCATATACACTCTTTAGAGACATCACATGAAAATGGTAAGCCTCCCCCCAAAAAACAAGGATCAAATGTCTTCAAAGCATTTGATCAGAACTCCACCTAGAAAAGCTGCATTCCATCTAAATCTAAAATCAGAACTGTTACCTGATGACATGAATATTACAGTTACTATATGGACATAAAATAGCTTTATTATATTTCATATTGGAAATGTCTATCATAAAAAGAAAAATATCTCAAGCACCAAACAAAACAACACCACAACCTCACAGCACGTTTAGCTAAAAAGTAACACTCCAATGGCACATTTGCAAAGTGAGATTCATCTTGGTTAGATTAGCTATCTAAAAGCTAGCTGATAACGGGAATCACTTATCCAAGCTAATTCTCATTTCAGAGAATTCAGAGAACTAATTTTGAAGGGAACCATTTGAATTAAGTAAGACAAGTTTACAGGGACTGACTCTCCATCAATTTCCAACCTCTTTTTAGAAAACAGGTTGGACTAGGTGGAAAAACTGTGATAAACGGTGTCACATTCATAAAAAGCCAAGCATTTCACTGAAGGAAGTGATTTCAATGTTCAAGTCTTAAAATATGTAGCAATCCACATTGGTATGGGTCAGATAAATAAAGGCATCAGAATGTAGAAATGTAAGCATATCAATGTAAATACAAGTTTTCTCCTTTCATTTTCTTTCTGCTGCAGGATAGGATAGCACTTCAGGTACCCCACAGTAACTTCAAGACTGTCATATGAACAGTTTAACTAATTATTCCATTTCAAGGTTATAAATTCGCTCATACAAAATCATTTTAATGCTGAATAATAATTTCCTCCTTCTGAAATACAGTAGCCTTCCCATACACATTTGCTTCCTAACTCAGGTGCCTCACAGAAGCCAAGCAATGTGCATTATACACATCCAAAACATCTTAAGAGAATGTGTGGAAAGAACACTGGCATTCTCACTGTGAGTTACGAACACACAGGAACTGAAAGTTTGTGCACTGTACAAAGACATGATGTTCCCAGTCGGACCTGGAATTAAATCTTCTAGCAGCTGTTACTTTTTCCCTTGAATTCCTAGTATATTGACTTTGGAAAAAAGTCCAGTTAGATGAACCTTCCATACTGAAAGTCCACAGAAATAAAAGCAGAACAAGCCACTTTGTACTTAAAATATCAACATAAGAGTAATTAAAAATATCAAGATAAGAGTATATAGTACCTAGTAAGCTAAGAAATGTTACAAGTCTGTATTTCAATTTCTTCTTATTTCCTAAGAAATAAAATAGCTCTAAATATAATAATATATTTTATAAATATGTATGAGTTTTAAATAGAAAACCCATTACGTTTAAGATAAAACCTAGACATAAAGTTTTTGCAGGAAGGACTGTCCACAAACCTGATGTTACAGGTAGAAAAGCTGAGCATTATCTTTTACGATCAAACAGCAGAAATGAGATGTTTACTGGCTGTGAATTAGACACTTTTTCCAAGGTAAAAATTAAGATAACGTAAACCTACAATGTACCAAAAGAATGTTAAGAAGTTCCAACTTTATGAGCTATTTTGAGGTAATACAGTTGTCCCCTTTCCCTACTTCCCAGTATAATGGGAGCTCTCTCCTCCAGTTCTTTGAAACTCAGAGGTTAAACACCTACTTGCTCATTCCTACATTTACCTTGGCCCTTCAGTGCGTTGCAAACAGCCGCAGTAAGCATTAAAATGAGGTGTGCTAGAAGGAATGCATAGCTACATTTTCACTCCTGATGCACGATGCCTAACCCAGTGACACAATTCTCAAAAATCATCACACACTATGTTGACAAAAAGGATGCAAATCTTGTGCTGCTTTACTATTTCTATGCAAGTAAACAACAATAACAAAACATATTTTACTTAATCTTTAACGGTAACATTTGCCAAATAAAATGAAGCACTTTAAACTTCTGTACAGCCCACAAATAAACACTATTTTATCATCATCAGTAAGCAGCACATTAAAAAGATGTCAAATTCATGACTTTCCCACCCCAAGATCCCAGTGTTACCAATCCAGACACAAGAATAAAATCATAGGTTATCAGTAGAATGTGTAAATACTGTACCATACAACCCTGCTTCGATCTACAATCATGATAAAAAGATTTTAAAATATACTTTCAACAACCAACCAAAGACAAGAACTGAGTAAAAACTGTTTTCTTTTTGCTATTCTAAATCTCATCTATAAATACAATATAACCTCAGAAAATCCAAGTAAATAGTAGGAATAAAGACTTGGTGAACTTCCTGGAAAAATTCTGTATGAACTGAGGTTGACTACTTGGACGACTACATAGCAAGCTGGACAAGCCACGTGAAGCTGGAAAAGGGAACTAGAACAGTCATTTTTGAGGGAAGAAGCACTGAAGAGAATAACTGTAATTTGAACAACCTTTAACATACCTGGATTGGTTCTTGTTGCTTAAAAACAGGACCAAGATCAGGCAGAATGAGCCTGATGTATTCTTCTTTGGTGCATTCCTCAGCAATTAGTAGAACATTAGGCAAGACAAAGGGTACCATATCAGGATTCACAAACTCAGAGGTCAAGCAAGGTAAAATTCGCTGAATTATAACACGCTGAGAGAGAAAGACAAGCATGCATCACATTACACCACGATGCTACTGTGCCAGCTCAACAGCTTTTGCATCAATCTGATATTAACAAAAAGATAAAACTTTCAATTTTGATCTTACTTTCACCATATGTTTAAGCTAATTTACACTGTTCTACTTTTCTTACTTGTCTCTGCTTGCACTCAAGACACAATTTGAGATTACAACAGCTATGAAGGTCAGTAAAAACTTATTAACTGTACAGAAAATAGGACTTTAAGTCACTTATATGCATTACGAAAACTTCATTCTACATCTTTCCTTCAGGAAAAAATTAGAAAGTTTTATCACCCAAGACCTCAGCCTTTCACTACCTCACAACCCACTGAACAAACTCACAAACCTAATATTTATCTCCCTGAAAACTCCATGTACATTCTCTAAATGGGATTCAGCTGACAAAACACAGAAAATTACACTGTGGATGCCGAGTGTAGAGACAGGCAAGCTTAAATGCTTTAAAAATCATTTAAGAGCAAGGGCACGGCCCATCTCCATAATAACATTCTACAGACAGAAAAAAGTGAATGCCTTAAAGACAATTTGTGGCTATCTGAAGTTAGCTGAAATACATCCCATCTGTGCCCAAATTCTAAGTATCAGGAATTTCTGATCAAAAGAAATAGTTACTCAGTTAAGAAGATGACAATGTTAAATCTGTGTAGTTCACTGTGCAGTTCAAAATTCAATTAAAAAGAAAGAAGTTTAATGCAATGGTTGAAAAGCTCATCTATTCTACTATGCATTAACCTAATACTACTTCTACATCACATACACACACCGTCTTATATAAATATGAGAATATGACAAGAAGAAAAAGTCTAGACACAGTGTCTAGCACTATAGAGGAGAAATGTGGAATGACAGACAGTAGCTTTTGAGGTTTCTGGGTTCTGCTAGCACAAGAAAGCATTCAGCCTTCTGAGGGAAGGATACTTTGCATCCTTCAACATTAAAGTACTACCTTGCTATAAAGAAGTTGAAACAATCCTATAAACAAACTGGGAGAAAATAGGGCAAGATGATTTCAAAGAGCTAATGATAGCATCTGAAAAAAAAGGGAAAGCCTTGTAAGTGCACAGCAGATAATTCCCTTTTAAAGTGAGATGAACTACATAGAGGATATACAAACAATGATTTCATAAATGAACTAATAGCACATTTTACCATTTCATGTTTCCTGATTTATCAACAGCTGAAGAAAAACTATACATTATTTTCCAACCTTCCTTTCTTTCCTGCTACTCTATTCTGACAATATTGTGGCAGTTTACTATGCCAGGTACAATGCTACATGAAGTTCAGAATTCTAACATTAAGAATGTTAATAGATTTGTATGCATTTTTAAATGGTTTCAAGAAGTCATATTTACATACCTTAGGCAGCTTTGGCAGAACCTTTGGCAATCCTTTAAAAAACTGTGATTTCTGAAGGTTATCCCTTTGAAATAATGAATCAAAATACTGAAGAGTCATTGCTCCTACATCATCAAAGAACGGTATCTAAAAATAAGATCAGTGCTATTAGAAAGCTTACTTACACTCACATAATTGTATGCTTATCCTCTCAGTGTACTATAGTAAACTTCTACAATGAAGTGTCTGCAACCAACAGGTAGAAAAGTAAATATTTACATACTGAGTAGTATAATATTCACAAAGGTTGATCATTAAGACAATTTTTCTAGCATTTTAAATAAGTATCTAAATTAACTGATTGTATAAGAAATTTTTTTTTATTTACAAGAAGAAAGAAAAAAAAGAGAAGTAAAAACACAAACTAAAAGTTCTCTAGGAATAAGTATGCTATTTAATATCACGAAGGCCTATCTAAAAGCCTTCTGGGTCTAAGAGCCATCCCCAGAATATTATAATGTTTCAATAAGAATTCACATGCAATAGATGTCTGATTACACAAATTTATCTTTGGTGTTCATACCTGCTTGTAAAAAGCTACAATGGATAGGATACATGTGATATCCCATGTTTGCATCACTTCAGCTGCAGCTCTAGTTGTCAGAAAAGAGGGTCTGCCTTCTTAAGTTTTGTGTAACAATATAGTTTTGTATATATACGTATACCAGGCTTATGAACACTGCATTAACAACATGACTGGATCATCCTACTGCCTTGGTAAATCATTAATACTGACATAGCTGCTTCATCATTAATGAAAGACTGATAAAAACGCATGATGAGGATATGTATAATCAATGGATATCAAGATGTTACAATCACAAAATAAACAGGAGAGTTAGGCGAAGTGGACTATGATAACAAGAGAGAATAAATGGAAGGCTTATCCTTATGCTGGGCTCACCACAAAACACCAGAAGGAGGGATCTCCAGACGACATCCTTCCCCACTGGTAGCCAGGTCTTAAATAGGTCTAGGAGGAGTGCAGCCTGGCTCCACCCCTTCCGGTAGCACAGGTGAATTGCCTTCAGCTGTGCTCCTCTGGCTGACTCATGGCTCACCTCAGGTGATCAATCAGAGGTTCAGGCCGTGACTCAGCAGTTCCCATACAGGATAAGACTGTTTTTATCTAAAATCCATCCCTGAATATTCAGCTTTCAGCTAGAAGCTCTACGTAGGTTAACTTAACATCATTAAAAATAGCAGGTAAATTTTCCCATGCAAAGCTCCATATTAGCTTGCACCATGCTGACCTTAATTAACTGCTTAACTCACATTTGTTACAATATATATTTAGCCCTAATTTCTCTATCCTACAATTCAGGAAAGCAATATATTAGTGTATTGAGTGATTACTCTAAACTCTGTTTCAGCACACACTTCTTTCATATTAAATGTTAATGTAAGAACAATACTTGCCACCAGCTAACAGCATTATTTTCTAAAGTTAGATGGTTTTTTAAAAACATTTCAACCAAAAAGATTAACAGGAATAAAAACAAAACAATCAAACTTCAAAACAGCTCCATTATTTCCATAAATGAAACATTGTTTTCCCTTTTTCCTTTAGCTACCATATTTTCCATAAACTGACCTTAGTCATTTGATCTGCATCTGGTCTGACTGCTGGAGCTACATTTAAGAGTAGCTTTACATGTTCACGCACCTCCTCTGGTATATTCTGGAGAGTACTGGAGCTTAAACGGCTCAGCTGCATAGAAATTTAAGCATATGTTCCATGAAATCAGAAAATCTTGTACATAACTACTTCCAGTATACATCAGCACTACAATTTGTTTCTCATACTGACTTCTTAAACCAAACCTTTGATACCATTCCCCTCCCACCTTTCACAACCCATTTGCTCCTGATCCCTCATAGTTTTCCTTCTGCTTCCCAACAGCCCGCCCGTGTCCAGTCACATTCTCCTGCTCCCAGCTTCTAATTGTGTTCAGGTTATTGAATAACAGAAAATCAGTATTTTTAAAGATGTGTTATTATCTGAGGTCTTATTTAGATACATAAAAATACTTTATATCTGGTTAAGGCAATAGGCACCCAAAGAAGCTGCAACAAAAGAAACTTGCATATGACCATATTACACCAGTTGTTCCAATTAACTTCATCTGTGAATACTCACAGTCCACAAAGAATGTGAAACAGCTGGTAACTGAATGGCTGCCAATTGATCAAATCACTTTAAACTCCGCAATCTCCAGCAGCCCTATGCTGGTCATACACTGTCTTTTGTTTGGCACTATTTGCCCTAACAGGTAAAGCACTTATCCCATAAGACCAGCATTCAACATAGTTACAATCGGCTGAAAAACAAATCCTCCAGCTGATAAAGTCAGTACAGAAATTTCTCTACACATACTTTCATTTTCCATATTTTGCTTAGGACTTTTAACTTGTGTCTAAAATATTTAAATTTGCTTTAAAAAAGTGATTTTTCAAATATGAAAATGAATGTATAATATTCATAAACAGATACCTGATCAAGTTGTCTACTAAAACTTTTATAAATATCCTGTTTGTTGACCTCAAAAATTGGTTTCCCTTTATTAAACACTGCATACATAACAGCTCCTAGAGAGTACATATCACTTGCTGTCTCACAGCTCACAGACAGAATGTATTCTGGTGCCAGATATTCAGGATTTGGAAGACACAAAGATGGCAAGTTTGGATCCCATTCCTTACAAGGGAACTTGGGCTATAAGAGAACCAACAACAACAAAAAGAACTTATTATGCATTTTATAAAAACTAACATGAAGTTTGAGTAGCGGCAAAAAATAAAGTTTTAATCCCTTCAAATCATGAAACAGAAATGGAGTAAAGCAGAACTGTTAAAAATCAGTGGCTGTAACTCAGTGATCAGTTCATGCAGTAAAATCTGGACATTAGAATTAAGAACTGTAATGCAAACGTAAAAGCACTGCTGTAAGGAGAGGAACATGAACTACGATAGAAATTAATTTGAGGATGTAACAACAAGGCACTGAAAGGATGTCACTGAACATGCAGGTTAGCAGAATCACATGCACTTTCAGCCTTTGTCTGAAACTTTCACTAGCCTATTCCAAGCCTACTGAGCCAAGTCAGGCTTCTTCTCTGATGATCAAAGGCAGAACTTCAACGCAAACCTATGCCATACATTCAGACTTTCTGCCAACAAAATACAGAATATTACATAAATGTATTGAAATGCAAGCTCAATAAACTGGTTTCAGACAAAGATCTGAATATGAAATGTACTAATAAATAACAATATAAAGTTGGATGTAGTACCTCCTGTTCAGATGGATTTGTTGACTGGATACAAAAATCAAAGCCTGTAATTTTCCATGCTCCACTTTTATTCAAAATTATATTTTCAGGAGTAATATTTCCATGGACCATTTTCACACTGCTATGCAAAAAGGACAAGCCTTCAGAAACCTGTTAATAAAAGATTTCAGGTTAAATATTTCCTAAGATGGATTGTACAACATCTACAAAAATTTCTGTCGTATCTACAGCCTTATTTCCTGTGGTCATGGTATACTAACACATTAACTAAGAAGCCATTTCTCATCATTGATTTTGGGCTGTTTTAAAAATTATGTAGGAAGGAAATTAAATACAGATGTAGGTAAGCAGCAGGTGAGATTACTAACACTGATCAACTACCAAAGCTTAAGAACAAAAATGTTTTTTGATGTTGAACAAAATTTCCACCAAATATAATCTGGAAGCCATTGTTCCTCCATAGAAGGTAAAGAAAAGATTCGTGTACAGGAGAGACAGTTGTAGAACTGACATTCATACAGAATACAAAAATTAATTCATTTCTTAATTTTCCATATCAGAATAACCAAAAATAGCAGCAACTTACAGAGCCTCCAGTATTCATCTTCTCTTATATTTACAATGTTCAGGTCGCTATCATCTTTCTCTTCACAATTATTTGATTTACTATACACAAACATGGCATTTATAAAACAACTATTAATAATAACAGCACATGAAAATAATAAAAATGTCACACCTGAAGCAGACCATATTTAGTCTCCACATCATAAAGCTTGTATTCTTTAATGTCAGATGGTACAGGAGAAGGTAGGTTGTCCCAGCTGCCAAGAACATTAGCTAAACTTGCACACACTGGTTCTGTACAAAAAGCCAAGCAATCTCTAAAGAGAAAATAGATTAAAAAAATGTTTTTTATAAGTAATGTAATGCAGCACATCTTGGCCTGGAGCAACCAGGAAGGCATAGTATTATACATTAGCAGAGACTCTGTGTTACCTAAAAACATATTTTATTTCAGGCTTCTAATCATTAAATGAGAGATTTTATATATGCATATATCTATGTGAAATGAAAAAAAAATTGTAGTATAGAAATCAGCTTAAGTCACTGTATTCTCTAACATTAACATATATCACTCACTGTGCACACAGCACTTCACTAAAGTTTTAAGAAAACTATACTTTTTCCTGCCCTGATCCAAGAAAAGCAAATATTTCTTACTACCATTAAACCCCGTAAAATCAGACTGTTAGCTCTGCCTAAAATTGCTACGCCCCTTGACTGAAGCAGTGCTTCATGTAGTCAGACAGGAATCAGAGACGCACATAACTATACTTGTTGTATGAACTGTTTCTCCAGTTAATTTATCTACTGCTTTATTCCTGTGCAATAGGTCTTTTTAACGTTTCTGTGGTAGCACTGTTTGAAAAGCACAGATGAAGCACAAAGAGCGGAGTGGTTGTAACACTGTGCTCCAGAAAGTCAAATCTTGAAGTCCTGAAAACAGCACATGTCACAGTTTCACAAGCTTCATGTATAAAAAGATCAACTTGTCTTATATATTCCCACACTTCACCCTGTTCTGAACAATACTGGAAGCTATAGTCTGTTTTTTATTTCTGTGTGGATGGTAGCGTATATATCCGGTCTAAGAATGAATATTTTCCATGCAAACACGCTGTGTTCAAACACTGCACCAGCATGAACACAGAAAACCAAGACTGCGTAACACAAGATATTTTTGTGAGTAATAACACTACTGGCAAGAAGGCAGAAGCCTAACCTTTTGTTTATTCCTTCAAAATAATCACAGAAGACAAAATGTTCCAGCATGAATCTATCACAAAGTTTCTATATATCTCTGTAGATTAACACACTGGCTCTTTGAGGTAAAAGAAGGTTGATGAAACATACAACACTCATTAATCATCCAGACTAAGAGTGACTTCTGATGCCTTCCTGAAGGAAAAAAAGAAAATCAAAATTCACTGATTCGTAAGCCTCACCTAACCTGACTGAACTGCAATTGCTTCACCACCTTCACACCATTCTGTAGACAACGTCTCCTCCACTTCTCTGTTAACACAGCTAGCGCTACAAACCTCATTTTTTGATTAATCACCAGGAGGAATCAAAGCACAGAAAGACAAAGATCTTCATTTTTAATCTTATTTCAGCTTTACTATGGAGCTTCTCCATTTAGTTACGGTTAAGGCACTGATGGCAGAAAATACTTACAAAACAGTTATTTGATATTTTCACAACATAAACACTCCAATTGCTGTTGCTTTGAGGGAATAGAAAGATGTTTGGTCTTTTACTTCAGGAGTTAATTAAATAAGGTGCCACATAAGAATTATGGAAGGATAGGGCAAATCTAATTAAAGCAATTTGGTATTGTAGGAGCTGTTATCTGCCATGCAGTGCATCCTCTTTACCAGTTCCCTGAATAATATCAAAATGACATTCTGAGTAACAAAATAAAAAGAAAACAAGTTATCAAGAAAAGTAATGGCCAAACACACATATGCTTTGGGAAAAACACCAACAGATGGAGTGTTTATGAAATTAAATATCTGGAACCCTTCATTCTTTGTGAATGGTTTTACAATTTGGCTTTTTCATGCCTTTCTGTTACTGGAAACCAAAACAAGTTGTAAGTAAATATACGTTATATTAAATGTTTAGTATGACTAAAAATATACATTGCATACATTATATAAATGCATGTAAAATTTACCACTAACAAAATATTTATAATCAACATAATTATGCTGAATACCAATTACATGAAACAGAAGCTAGCTACATACTGGGATCCAAATGGCATGGCCTGGAAACATCTACCTGGTGCAGATACACCAAAAGCATTCTTTTGCACCACACCACACAAAAAGAATAAATTGTGCAAGCAATTTCAGCACAACTGTATGTTACTTTGGATCCACCAAAAAAAGACCAGCCCAGAAGGAGCCCCCTACAGATGTCTTCAAAAAATAAGCACTCTGCAAGCACCTTCTTCTAGTCTAAAAATATTGTCAGTCTTACGGTGCACTTGTACACAGATACATACACAGTCTAAGCAAGTTTTCCTTTCATGAACCCCACAAATCTATTGCTCCAGTTTCTGGCACAGCAAGCAGCTGGGCAGGTTTGCTCATAGTGATGCCCCTACAAAGAGCTTATTGAGTATGAACAGTATTCAGACCAAAGCAAAGTGTTACTGAAAATTCATCAGCAAGGACTGTGACCAAACTGCAAGATCAATTTTACTCAAAAGGCTTAAATTGTTTGCAGGAAAAAATACCAAAGCTTTCTTATGTCTCCAAGGTATGAATCTTACCATCTTCTTCTTAAGTGTAGAATTTAGGAAAAAATACAAGGTTTCTGGCTCAGCTGAAACACCATTCACTTAAAACCAAGGTTTTAAGTGAAAACCTTGAGGTATATCCTGGTACATACAACTTATCTACATAAACAATGACTAAGACAACCATAGGCCATGAAATTGGTTATGATTTACTGCTGTACAGTATTGACAGTTCTGTTCAATTAGCAATCCATCTTAGACTTATACAAGGAGCATACTAAACCAAATGACTTTAGAACAGGAGGAAAGATATATATGGATATAATGTGCAGGTTAACAGACAGAAGAAAAAGTGGACAAGTTTGAAAGGCAATGTACATGAATCTTTATTAGACTCTACTTTGAAAAAACTTCCTTGGAAGAAGTTGAAAAGCTTCATGATCTTCCTCAGTAGGATCAGCTTTCTATTTTAACATGAAATCTTCATTTTATTTATCAGATTTTAGTGTACTCTTATCACTATAATTGAATAATAAAGGTGTAAAACTAACCCATTATTGTACCTTTTGACTAATCTTATATAAATCAAAGTAACACTAAAAAAATACAGATTTGTCTCCCTCATTTGGTACCTGAGGATCTTCTAAATGCATATGTGCCACAAAAATACAATTTGCCAACAGACCCCAATCTCATAAATAGAAAACAATAAATGAACAATTTTTTAAAAGAAAACAAATTTAAAAGGCTCTTTTAAAGTGAAATTAATTGAACTCCTAAACATCCTTGCTGTAATGGTCACATGTAGTCCTCCAGCTGCAGCAGCACTTAGATCATGCAACAGATTATCAATTAGATTCACACCAAGGATACATGGTATGACTTGGGGAATAGAGATTTGAGGATGGAGAAAACACCATTCTCTCATGAGTAAATATATTAAACTTGAACCTCATCAGATCTAAGTGTTGAATGGTCCAGACTTCTTATAATCAATAACAAAACAGTAATTAAGAAAGTCTGCTCTCACCTTTACTATAGCTTACCTAGATTCTTCCAATGGATGTTGAACAGTAAGCAGTCGAGGGTGTCGAAGCCTCGTTAGCTGTTGAACACCTCGTTTTAAAGAATCAATAATCTGATCCTTTTCAAATTTTTGATACTTGTCTATTAGCTTCTTATCAAACACAAAAACAGCCACTTCCTAGAAATAACCAATGAAATTCACTCAGTACATAACATATCCAAAAAATAAAACCTATATAAAATTATGTACATGCATACTTTTTAAAAAATCAACAGTACAATCCTACCAGTGCAAGAAGCACTACAATATATATCTGCAGCTACACATTGTCCTTATTCTGTCCCAGCCATTTTCATCATGACTGTATAGAATTTCTGGAATATGTGTTTTAAGAATTACTGTGCTCCAAACCTTACAAACTACTGCATAAACTACAATCATTTTCTACAGAATTATAGAACAGCAGGCTAACAAGATAGAAATCAGCTTGATTTTTAGGTAAACAAAAGCATTTATATAACTATAAATAAATAAAATATTCTGAGGGTACTCACTCATTTGCATTAAGAGATGTTTCATTAAACTACACTCTTTCTCAAAGTTCTGTTCCAAACAAATATGTTCCATATTGAAGTACACTTTCATAAGAGAGAACTTGTGGTGAATAACATCTATCAATTAACCTGATCATTCCCATGATAGTCCAGACATGGGACCCCCAATACAGGAAGGATGTGGAGCTCTTGGAGTGAGTCCAGAGGAGGGCCACTAAGATGATCAGAGGGCTGGAGCACCTCTCCTGTGAGGAAAGGTTGAGGGAACTGGGCTTATTTAGCGTGGAAAAGAGAAGGGTCCAGGGAGACCTCATCACAGCCTTCCAATCTTTGAAAGGAGCATGCAAACTAGAGAGAAAACAACTGTTCACATGGGTGGACAGTGATAGGACAAGGGAGAATGGTCTTAAACTGAGACGGGAGATTTAGGTTAGATATTAGTAGGAAGCTTTTCACATAGAAGGTGGTGACACACTGGAACAGGTTGCCCAATGAGGCTGTGGATGCCCCATCCCTGGAGGCATTCAAGGCCAGGCTGGATGTGGCTCTGGGCAGCCTGGTCTGGTGGTTGGTGACCCTGCACATAGCAGGGAGGTTGAAACCAGATGATCACTGTGGTGCTTTTCAACCCAGGCCATTTTATGATTCTATCATAACACATTAAGCATAGTAAAAAATTCCTGAATGTGTAAAATAAGCCCCAGAAATGTAGTAAATGTTAAAAGAGAAGAAATTGATTTTCCAATTAACCTCTGCAAATGGAGTAGGAGAAAACTAAGGAATTTAAATGAAACTTCAAAATTACAGAGGTGGATATGAAATTAAAAAGAAAACAAAACACAAAAACAACAAAGAAAGAAAAATCAACAACTGGTCATATCCATCATAGAAGCTACTAAAGACAAATAAATCAGTTGGAAAGAAAGTACACTTGCACCCATACTTAACTAGCCAAACACCCTATAAACATAAAAAAGTATTTCCCAAATCTTAGGAAAGCAGGTAGTAGTAGTGAAAAGTCAAAATTAGAAAGCAAGCCCTACTCTATTCTCAAGTGGGGGAAAAAAAAAAAAAAAAAAAAAGTATTGCTGATTTCTATCAACAAAGGCCATGACCAAGAGAAAGAAAATAAATAGTGCAACCACACTTGCTGATTCTCAGTAAGCTGTGCTCCATCGTTTCCATCCTAAGCTCCTGATGTACTCTGCTTCCAACAACAGAAGGCAATCAGGCCACCCAGTCACGTTATGCTTTCTTTTTCACCACTGAGAGGAGGGCAAGCCACACAAAGACTGCAGGAGCACTGAGTATGTGTGTTGCTAACGACACAAACACAACTATAAGGCATTTCAAAATAAAAGCTCTTAGGAGCTGTGAAAATGTAATGATGCAACAGCATCAATTCGTCCTCCCTATTTCACTGCATGTTGAGGAAAGATGTTAATAATATAGAAAACAACCAAACACCGTAGTGGTGGACATGAGAGAAACTCTTTTCAGGAAATTCAGAATAGCGTACAGTAGTAACAGCAGAGACCTAGCACAGGACAACACGGAAGGAAGAAAAACCCACAGAATGCTGAATGACTGCAGCCTGCCATCTACCCAATGATTTGAATGATGTGGTGCTCTTGTGCAAAAGATTTAATGTGATCATGTTGTTAAAGATTAAGCCGTAAACAAAATCAAAGGAGCACTTGATTTTAGAAATCTTGTTTGCTTTGCCTTTCATATGTCTTCTCTATTTTACCCAAATGCACTCACATTTTTTTTTAATGAATATTCAAATGCCACTCAATATGAAAACACATGATGTTTTACCAAAGCCTCCCACCATGCAAAGCAAAATAGTCTCTGAATTACAATACTGGAAAGCATTCCAGTGTTACACTGGTCTTTTGCCAGAAAAGATTTTCCTACAGACTTTTTTTTCTTTTTTTTTTTCTAAGTTAGACAATGTTTCTCTACAATATTAACTCTACTTCCCAATCAGGTTGTTCCAGTCACAAAGGTGCTATATTATGCCAGAAGAACATCAGCACATTCAGACTACGTAAGCAACTCCACAGTGGGCAGAAACAAATACTATAAAATAAGCAATGTGTTGCTTCATGTAACATGATACATGAAATAAAAGAATACTATCATATATATCTGCTGTCACTGGTGATTGAAGCTTTAAATTTTTGTATATGTCATAGAATTAAAATAAGAATCAAATTAATTCACATTTGAAATTTTAACTTCAGCTGCTGACTTCCATTTGTTCTGGGAAACAAACTGCTGATGCAATACTGACACTTCAATTTAGCTAGTTTACATGGCTACAATGACTTAAATTACTACTTGTGTTATAAAATAACAAGAAGGGCAATTAAGCTTTACATCCTCTTTGTTTGATCACTATACACATTTATTGTAAACAAACAAACATGCTAAGTGGTTGTAGCTCCAAGTTAGATACACTTTTGCAACGCAGGAATTGCATGCAGCACATGACAGAAGCAACTGCAACTACCTCCTCCATAGTGCCCAGCCAACCTTCTAAAGGGCCCGTGCAAAAGAAATACAAAGGAATGCTAAAGAACAGACCCAGCAGAACAGAGTGTTTCGTCCTGGTGACTTTCACAATATTAAGCTGAATGTTGATATGATGTTACCTACCTGGCAATAATAATAATGAATGGTAATTGCCAGCTAAAATTCTCTGCAATACAACTGTTGCTGTACTTTTAATGACTGATGATGGCATACAAATGTGCAGGTGTTAGTCAAGGTTTATAGAGAGAATGAGGTTCAAATATGGTAACATCTGAACTAACACCCTTTAAAATCAACAGTCAGACACCCATTTCAAAGGCTTGGAAAATAAACAACATACAACCTACTCACAGGAATGGATTTCCATATACTGTCAGTTGGGCAGTGAAAGAAATTACAACACTCCATACCCTCAAAGCTATGCCCACTACAGGTCACTTGCTTATGGAACATGGAGATTGTATAAAACCTATCAAAACTTTCAGTATTGTTACTGCACTGCATAATTGAATAACACCAAAAACCAACACAAAGTAAACACAAATTCAGCACATTTGATAAATTCAGTAAATACTATGATAAAATCCTGTCATGGCTAGACAGATGCATGAGAAACATGGTACAACATATGATGAACATTATGCAGATTCTGACACAGATCACACAATTCCCACACAGTATTTATTCTGCATACTATACTTCTCCACCAGCTACCATTTGACAGGCTGTATACATGCTTACAGAAGTAAGTTACCCTGACTATCTCTTTTGGCACATTTACAGCAAGCTGATTCATTCTACAAGTGACTTCATATTACTTCAGCATCAAGTTTAACTGCATCTTCTACTTAATCAAAGAATATTCTATTTTCTCGCCAAGTTTTAAAAAGATATTTCATATTTCTCCCGATCAATAAAATCATGTTCTATAACACCAGCTTTTAAACTCTGTTTCTCATAGATTCATAGAATCGATTGAGTTGGAATGACCTTAAAGATCATCTAGTTCCAATCTTCCTTCCCCTTGCAGGGATGCTACGCACCAGACCAGGCTGCCCAGAGCTCCATCCAACCTGGCCTTAAATGCCTCCAAGGGCATACACAATTTCCCTGGGCAGCCTGTGCCTCGCCATCCTCCGAGTGAATGATATCTCCCAGTATCTAATCTCAGTATCTCCTCTGTTAGTTTAAAACCATTCCCCCTAGTCCCATCACCGTCAGATTGTGATAAAAAGAGGGAAGACCGACTTATAAAGTTCATTTTAAGTATTGGAAGACCAAAATGAGCTATCCCTGGAGTCTTCCTTAAGCTGAACAAGCCCAGATCCCTCACACTTTCTTCATAGAATCATCATAGAATCATCATAGAATCATAGAATCACTAAGGTTGGAAAAGACCTAAAAGATCACCCAGTCCAACCATTCACCTATTCCCAAGCTCCTACTAAACCATGTCCCTCAACACAACATCCAGCCTTTCCTTGAACACCCCCAGGGTCGGTGATTCCACCACCTCCCTGGGCAGTCCATTCCAGTGCCTGACCACCCTTTCTGAAAAGTAATACTTCCTCATGTCCAGCCTGAATCTCCCCTGCCGTAGCTTGAAACCATTCCCCCTGGTCCTATCACTAATGACACGAGAGAAGAGGCCAACCCCCAGCTCACTACAACCTCCCTTCAGGAAGTTATAGAGAGCAATAAGGTCTCCCCTGAGCCTCCTCTTCTCCAGGCTGAACATTCCCAGCTCCTTCAGCCGCTCCTCATATGGCCTGTGTTCCAGACCCCTCACCAGCTTTGTTGCCCTCCTTTGAACACGTTCCAGGGCCTCAATATCTTTCTTGCAGTGAGGGGCCCAAAACTGGACACAGTACTCGAGGTGCGGCCTCACTAGTGCTGAATATAGGGGAACAATCACCTCTCTGCTCCTGCTTGCAACACTGTTTCTGATGCAAGCCAGGATGCCATTGGCCTTCTTGGCCACCTGGGCACACTGTCGGCTCATGTTCAGCCGAGCATCAATCAATACCCCCAGGTCCATTTCCTCTACGCAGTCCTCCAGCCACACCGCCCCAAGCCTGTAGCGTCGCCTGGGGTTGTTGTGGCCGAAGTGCAGGACCCGGCATTTGGCCTTGTTGAAACTCATCCCATTGGCTCCAGCCCAGCTCTCCAGCCTGTCCAGATCCCTCTGTAGGGCCTCGCTACCCCCAGGCAGATCCACACTTCACAGAAGAGGTGGTCCAGCCCTCTGATCATCTTTGTGCCCCTCCTCTGGACCCATTCTAACAGCTCATCATTCTTGTGCTGGGGGCCCCAGGCCTGGACACTCCAGATAGGGCCACACAAGGGCAGAATAGAGGGGAACAATCCCTTCCCTTGCCCTGCTGGCAACACTTCTTTTGATGCAGACTAGAATAATGTAGGCCTTCTGGGCTGAAAGCATGCACTGCTGGCTCATATCTAGCTTTCTGTGCACCAGAACCCCAAGTCCTTCTCCACAGGACTGCTCTCAAGGAGTTCTTCTATTCTGTAGTTGTGACTGGGATTGTCCCAGTCCAAGTGCAACACCTTGCACTTGGCCTTGTTAAACTTCATTAGGCTCACGTGGACCCACAGGCCTCTCTGGCAGGCATCCTTTTCTTCCGTTGTATCAACTACACCACTCAGCTTGGTGGTTCATCCTCAACTTGCTGAAGGTGCAATCGATCCCACCATCTCTGTCATTACTAAAGTCAAACCTTCTTCCAAAGTCACAGTCCCACTTTTATCTATATGCGCAGCTTCCAGTGAAGCAAAGTACATGTACTGGTGCTCTAAACTGTAACATTTTAAGATAGAGTTACTTCTCTGGCAACAATACTGATCTGAAAGTTGCACAATCGAGACAGGATTCTCTTCCTCCACACCCTCCTCCAGTAGCAATGCCTTTCTGCCACTGTATCTCACTTCTCAATAACATTTCTAACCCTTTACTTCGTGTGTCAAAGCTGAACAAAAAAATCACAGCCTGTTTTGCTGAGATCAAATAATGGCATGGTTCATGGTCTTTTAATGCTGTAAAAAGCCAGTATAATTATGTCTCAAAACTGCAAAGTAAATTAATCTGGAGAAATGAACCGTGTTAAAACAAACAAACAAACAAACCTCACCGTTCTTGTCAGGTCAGTTAACTCAAATCAGTTCTTGATCTTGTTCTCAAGTTGTGTGCTATGACTACTGAACCATTTTTTCTCCAGCAGCAAAGCTCACTTAAGTAGCTGATAACACCATACTTAAATCATTTAGGGGTCTTCAATTTTTACACTCTTAGCATTTGCCAGCACAGCTGGATTTTCCTTTTGAATATCACCAAGTGATACCTACCAGTCTGTTATTTAACACTTACAAACATAAGTTGTTACTTGACAACTCACCTGCTTTGTCGATTTTTTAGTTCCATTAAATATCTTCCAGGCAAGACCGTTACCACCACTGGCAATATGTCGACCTACATCAAATTCCCTGGTAACGGGATTTCCCATGACCGCGCTGGTGACATCGGCTGTTACCTTTGTAACAGTGCTCTTCAACTTATTCAGCATGGACTCCATTGTGTCAACTGTACACCAACGTACTATGCTAAAAAGACAAGAAAAAAAGCTTCACAGTCTTTTAGAAATACAATAAACAAAGACAAATGTCAAAAATAATATTAAGGTCATCTGACCAAAGATCCGTGGAATACTGGAGGCCTGGGCTGTATGTCCTTGCTACTCCTCCTCAGAAACTGCTGAATCTGTTGATGGCTCTTCATAGGATCTATCAAAGCAACCGAGGACTGAAAAACTCAACCACTTATTGAAAAAACAGGTGATTGAATCAATTAGACTGCTCCTGTGAAAGGAAAGGTTCACAACTTCTATATTAATATCAATCAGCAGAACCAAAGGTGAATGAAAGCGGAATCCATCAATTCAGTGTTCGTGGAATTAGACATTTTCTGAGGGAAAAAACTGCTCAGACCAGAGGGCCATCAAAAGAATGATTTCTATTATGCACAAGACAATTTAAAAAAATCAAACTGTTCTTTCCCACATCGTGACTAACAAAACACAAGCTCAAAATTCAGTACTTTACTCATTAGAACTGCTGACATTATTTGTCTGACCTGAGCATTCGGGAGGTGATCAGCTGCTGTGAAAGTAGGAAACAAGAAACTGCCTTTTTATGCTTTTTTCAACAAAATTGCACATGTAAGTTTATTAGCATAACATTTGCAAATTTGAGAGCTAAACGACTGTGGCTCCTTACAGTTTATTTCACTTTCCTCTCCCTCTACTGCATACTTACACAGTTTCCTAAGTTGACATGGTTAGTTCAAAAAAATCTGATTTCTCTTTTCTGCCAGAGAAAAGTTTGAAGGATATGCCACATTTATACAATTGCCTCTCTGATAATGGATATATAAGAAAGAATGCAGACAAGAAAGAAATAGCAAAAGAGAGAGACAGGCATTCATCTTCTTTATCGGTATATGCACAGACAAAGAGAGAACACAAAGAGAAATGATCTCCTGGAATCAGTATCATACGGCATATTTTGAAGAAATATTGAAGAATATTTCTTCATTCTTCCTTTCATATAAGGTATGAAGAATACTAATGTCTTCAACTTGTAGAATAAACCTATGATAACACATTAGCAAATACGCTGAAACACAGCCTTATTTGTTATATATTCAATTTATTGGATTATAATTTATGCAAAACTACCTTGAAAAATAGAAATGTCACTGCTAAGCAAATAGAAGAGATCAGAGTCAGCTGTGATAAAGATGTTTTGCAAGTCATGGTAACGAGGACAAAATAAGCAGAAGTAACAGGTAATCCAGGGAGCACTGGGGCCAATCAGCCCCAACGTCCACCTGATCTATTTGAACAAACTAAAGCTTTTCCCACTGCTCAGGCATCACAGGGCATTGTTCTACACAGAGAACAATGGAGTCTAATCAGATATGCATTTATTGTAACACTTTCCATATTCAAGGCAGAGATGGAGCTTGTTTCTTCTCCATGGTTCCTCAATCCCACAAATCTGTAGCAATTTATCTCTGGCGTCTGTGTACTTCAGTCCAACTTGACTGAAATTGACCACACAATTCAGACATGCAATCTTTCTCCCCCTTTCCCAAAAGAGAAAATTAACACAGTAGGCAAATTTTCTCTTAAAAGAGGAAAAAAAGAATAATTGAAGAATTCATTCCAGTGAAGATGTATTTTCAAGCAAATCTAGATCTTAGCCCAGTGCTGGAAGCATCACAGCTATGTTGCCTTATATTGATTACAGTTGCAGTTACATCCCATTTTCAGCATGACTCCACTGTGAAATGTAGAAACATGTTCCTGCTATGACTCAATAAATGTTTCTCCAGCAGCCACATCAGATGAGCAACACAACTTTGCACTTCTAAAGAGAGTACCAAAATCAAAAATTCAAGAAAATGTTCTATATAAAAAAGAGGTATTAGTATATAAAAAAATAATAATAAAAAGGCATCAGCCTTTTATTATCAGAGAAGTTCCACAGATTTACTTGCAGAGATAAGATGAAGAAAATGTGTGCATGTGCATGCTCACATTCCTTTGTATAAACCTGAAAGAGAGCTTCTCCAGTCAGACAGTGGAAAAAATGGTGCAGCATTCATTAATTCAGAACTGCCCTCTACTGTGGGTGACAGATTAACTATAGTGAGAAAGCTAGAAAAGCCAGAAGGTGAAGATGCCCATAACATCCAGGTGTCTGAAGGGTCAGGATTTAAACAGCAATCCTAACAGGCCCTGTCCAATCTGTTCATCTCCAGTTTGACAGTACACAAATTACTGATTTGTTCAGCTAAGGAAAAGGAGTACTCCTTAGTAAACGGTTTTGGCTTTAAGTCTATCAAAAACTGTTTATACATTTGTAGAAATCCTCATGTCAACATTTGGACTGTGTTCTAAAAGAAGCCTTTTTTCTTTTTTGGCTCTGTAAAAACCACTGTTATTATTGATTTCAATCAAAACATTTACATCAGCGAGAACAGCATACTTTGAAAATCCTTGAGGAAAAAAACCCCAAACATTCCATTTTGAGAAATACCACAAGTCTTAATGTTATTGACCATACCTGAAACATGTAACTTTAGTTCTCAACTGCAGGAAACTGTTCAACTGTTCGGTTATTCTAAGACTGAATTACTACTTATAGCAGAATTAACAGCCACAGGGCAACAAAGCAAGTCTGCTACCCAGAATGACAATTTCAGCTCAAATTAAAAGGTAGCAAATGGGAAAAGTACAAGATCTTATAAGTAATAGTGCACAGACAAGCAACACAGGACATGTAATTACGCTCAAAAACTTTGCTTTCCTTCTGTTTGAACAGGAAGGATTATTTATAACAAGTCGATGACAGCAAGCGCTTGGTAGCTACACCAAGTCTACAGAATCTGGAACCAATCCTAAAAGGAAACACAGCATTTGCTTAGGACATCGTTTTCACGAAGTCCCCTCACAAGTGCCGGGTGGTCTTTGTGCTAATAAACATCAGCAGAAAGATGGTGACATCCCAGCAGAACGGTGACAACCCTGCCACTGTGTGAGGGGAGCAGTAACAGCCCTCACAGCAACAAGAAATGAATCAAAACAGTGAAAAGGTTGAAATAAAATCCAAAATAAATCCTCAGAGTAAGTCACCTTCACGGCTTTGTTGTTTTTTTTTTTTTTTCGGTTTTTTTTTTTTTTTTTTTTTCCTAGCATTTTGGCAATGAACTGCAGCTGAAACCTTAACAAGAACTGACGGCAGACGGTCTTGCCGGTCCCTCGTTAACAGGAGAGCCCCGACCTGAACAACGGCCGCACAACGGCCTCCCGCGGGCCGGCCCTCCGCCCCACCATGTCACTGTTATCTACAGTCAGAACGGACCCGCAGCGGAACCCCTCCCCGCAGTTGCCCCAGGGCGGGAGGGTTTGCACTCCGGCCCTACGGCCCCTCCCGCCCCGCAGCCGGGACGGTCCCCCTCATCCCCTTCGTGCCCGAACACCGCTCCCGGGCCGCGCACCCGCAGCCCGCGCAGCAGCGTTAGGCCCCGGGTGGCCCCGCGGGGCCGGGCCGCGCCTCTCACCTGAGCTCGGGGCGAACCGCCGGCGCGGGACCCGGCCGCCCGTCGCCCTGTGGGCCCGGAGGACCGGCTGTCAGCTAGCTCTGCCGCTGGCTCCGTCCCGACCCGCTCCGGCTACTCCATGGCGAGAGCCACGGCGCCGGGAGAGGGGCGGCCTGTGTGCGGCTCACTTCCGCCCCGCAGGGGCAGGGCCGAGGCGGCGGCGGAGGGCGGGAAGTGATGCGCGCGGCCGCTTCCGTTATGGCGGCTCGTTCGGCTCCGTGCCTCGGGGGGCTCCTCGGGCGGCGTGTGAGGGGCCGCTCGTGCAGTGACACCTTCCTCTATTTTTGTAAAATTGAGTACGGTTGCTGTAGGGCTTACGTATCAAGAGGGAGGACTGCTGTCACGCAGTAAAAATACCTTTAAAATGTGAAAACAAAGCTATATATGCTGGTCTGTAAAACTTCATATAAACGTTTTGCAAATGGTGATGGTCCTTCTCGAGCGACTCAGCTGTGGAATCATAGAATCGTAGAATATCTGAAGTTGGGAGGGATCACCGAGTCCAACTCTTGGCTACACACAGCACCAACTGAAATCAAGCCATATGTCTGAAGGCACTGTCCAGACGCTTCTTGTACTATGGCAGATTGAGGTTGTGATCACTGCTCTGGGCAGCCTGTCCCATGCCCACCACCCTTCGGTGGAGAACCTGTCCCTAACCCCCTCACCTGATCCTCCCGATGCAGCTCTGTGCTATTCCCTCCTTTGTTACCTACAATAGTCTGGCACAGTAGTATTAGCTTAATTTTGTTCCTGTTCATACACTGTCCTGAGTTCATATGCTGACAGATGGGTTACACGTTGCCTAAACAGGTAACCAGGCCACAGCTGCAGACTCGGTTCACCTGAGACACAAGCCTGGCAGACATTCCAGAAAAATGAGAAGAGGAGGTAACTTATTTGCTCTCCTGAAAAATAAATAAAAGAAACCACAACCCACTAATCCCCAGCCTCTTTTTAAGAAGGAAATGTTCCAATTACTTTTTCTCAAAATCTATGCATATTACCAACAGCAGAGGTCACATTTCTGTTCCCCTCATGACTATTCACTAACATAATCATAACCAAGACTCACATTCATTTTCAGAATGAGCAAAGTTGAAGTGAGCTTTTAATAATAGTGCAATGCCCATTCGGTTGCACAACAGTAACATTTTTTTGGGGGGCGGAGGGGGGGGGGAAATCAAATTATCCTGTGTGTTATACCAGTACTAGCATTCACTATTTTGCCTCACACTATTAAGACTTTTTGCACTAAGAACATAATGAAGCAGTCAGTAAAAATTAAGCTTGTAAAACTTTATTCTGAAAATGAACTTCTCCCAATCCAATGAAGTATAGGAAAGCTAAAACACAATCCTAACTGACAGAGAACAGCTCAGAGCTCCACTCTGAGTAAACCAATGGAACAACAACATACCCAACTATGCTACTTAAATATCAAATTTCTCTTCACATATATTGTGTCCATGTTCTTCATAATCTTCTCTGGTTACTACCAAGTCTTCAAAATCATCATTTTCAGAAATGAGCTTCCCACCTTCCCAAGAGTAAGTAATAGGGCTGAAAAATGAACAAAACCATTGTCAATCTTGTGCAAGTTCATTTAAAATACAGTTCTTGGAAATCATGACTGCACACTTTTATTTGACCATATCTATCAAAAATATATCAAATCAGAAAAGACTGTTCTCAGATGATTTTTTTTTTTTTTTTGACTGCTACATGAAACCATCCAGCTCCAGTCAAATTTTGAGACAAAGTTTGAAACTTGGCCAGGGCTGACTTCCCATTTTATAAAAAAATTAAGTAACTTTTGGGAGGCAGGTGTGAAGGGGGCAGGAAATAGCAATGTCTTCATATTTTCTTTGCGTGACTATTCTTTAATATTCAAAAATATTCTCTAGTAATACTTTAAAAGGTAAAGATAATCTTTTGTATGATCAAAGACTACTTGTTTTGCCTCTACCATATATTCACTCTCTGCAAAGATGTTATTCCTTCAAGTCCCTGAAATGCCTGCATTAAAACTGATACGTCAGCATTCATATAGTAATTATTCTTTTAAGTACTAAACTCTAATCACGCATACTTATGTATCCACTTCTCTTAATGAGACTACAGTCTTACTGATCTATTTATAACACTCACCTTGGAAACAACTACTTCTGTGCTTAACTTTATTAGGCAATATACTAGACAAGCACATGGTCTCTAATACATTCAATTTCTCCAAAAATACAACAAATTAGAACAATTGTTCTTGAATGATTTCGGTTCACTTAAAGGGATTAATATCTTTTTATCAGCAAAAGAAGTCCTGCCTGACAGTTTGTTCAGTACAGTTTAGGACTTACTTTTCTGGGAGAACAACAGAAACATCATAATCAGTTGGAGTAAGGCATCGCACTTCAGAATACACTCGGTCTCTGAAGCCTGGAAAAAGCGTGTTTCCTCCAGTCAGAACAATGTTCTTGAAGAAGTGAGGCTGCATTTCTTCAAAATAAATAAAACCTGTAGTTAGAGACTAAGGATGGATTTAGAAACGAGATTCTTCTTCCCCGATTTTGTTATGAATTGGAAATGAGTTAAGAAAAACATACAGAAGTTGTGTTAATCTAGTGATCAACACAGTCATATTCATAGCAAAACACAACTAAGCAATCATCATCTGTTCTTCAATTTCTAAAAATCACAACATTGTCTTTTAATTGTCTCTTAGATTTCATGCCTACCAACACATTCTTCTTTCAAAATGAATTTTATTTTGTACTCTTAAAAATTGCACCATTTCATAGTTTCAACACCTCCACCCTTATGTGGCATCACAAAACCTATGAATATCCTTGCAAAAGTAGTAACATCAACTACATCAATATCATCTATAACACGAAGGCACTAATATTATTTCTGTCCAACAGAGCAGTCAGACAGGTTTAAGACTCTGATGCTTAAACGACTGATTTCAGCCAGGCTGAATTTTCTTCCACTGAAGAAAAATTTATTTAAGTATATATAAGTATATTCCATCATCAGTGGCAGGTAGATCACATTGGTAACACAGCACACGGCGATCAACTGAAGCAAAAGTAGAAGCCAATCTAGGAACTACCACAAAGCTGTGCTTGCACAAGTGGGCATCTTACAGATAATCATCAGTTCTAGGCTACATGATACATGCCAAAAGACAGAACAGTTCATAAAAGCCTACCAGACATATTGAGAGCATTTAGCTTCTTATGACTCTTTGGGTGCTAAAACAAGTTTAAAATAAAATAACTTCCAAAATACTTATTAAATTATACCTTCTGGTAAATTCTGAATAGAATCAACAATGGCTTCAGGAATTCCCATCTCTTGAATACCAATATCTGAAGGATGGAAGAGTATTTCTGGAACTGCAAATCTTTCATTCGTTAGACGAAGTATTTGTTCACCAGTTTTGTATTTTCCACTTAGCACCATCTCTTCCCTTGGCTAAATTAAAGACAGAAATAGTAAACACTGCTTTAGAAAAGAAGTCATATTCCGGAGTATTCAGCTTATTTTTTTCATGTACTATAGTAGTGGTAAGCCATACATCCCACATTAAGCCATATTACCTATAAATCTTTTAATAATAACAATACATACTCTGGTATTAAATTTGAATTTATCAACTTACCAGCTGCAGATTTGCCCAATGCAAAATAAAATAAGTATGCACAAGAATGATACTTAAAATACTGGGACTGCTTTTGAAACTGAAAACTACGGCCAACTAAAAAAAAAAAAACCAACCAAGCAAGGATAACACTTAAAATTGTTGTCACTAGTATGAAGATTTTTCAGGCTCTTCAGGCACAGCTTTGAGCTTTCTACTTACTGGCATGCTTAGACGAAATTCAAATAGACTTACTAACACTTACCAAAGAGAAAACCCCTTTCAGCTTTGAGAAAGGAATAATAGTGATATATGATAATTTAGAGTAGGTTTCATGACAGCACGAGCATAGCAATCTGCAAGTGTTAGATAACAGGACATAAAATGCTATGCTAGAGAAACAAGTATTTCATTTTCATGTCGGCTTCCTAAAAAAATGAGTGACAAGCTGTCTGCTTTTCCTTCCTATAGCAGAGGCAAATTAGAGAACGTTCAGGTAACTGCACAGAATCCAATTTTTCTAGAAAATTTACAGATCTCAAGGTAGGCGAAACCTACCTACACCAGGAAAGGTAGCAAGAAACATCAAGTCAGCTCATCAGATCACCAGGTAGCTACAGCTACAAATTTAACGCAGTACTGCACTGACAGCAATCTGAAGTTTGAGGACAGCAAGCCAGTTTCTCTTGATGATTACATTTGTACGTATACTGCAAGTTAGCATTAGCACATGTAAGTTACTATAAAGGAACATACTTCAGGAAGAATGTAAGCTAAATGAATTCTTGGTTTTAAGCAGCAGTTACAAAGGGTATGAAATCTTCATGAGAAGCTGCAACATGATTGTATCTCAAAGCCTTCAAAAATAGGTGACAACACATCTTGCCATTTTTCTACCAGAATAAGGAAAGAAGAGACAGAGCCTTTGCCACCGTTCAGTTTTCAAATCACACGCAATATTCCTACAAGAATCTGAACTAAAGATTTGATACTGCAAATTAATACACCTCAGGATACTTGGCATTTTAAAAATTTAACCCATTAATGCGTAGAACAGACAGAAGTTACAACGCAGCATTAGAACAAAGAAAAGTCTTTTTAACAAACAGGAACAGCCTTGTGCAAAGGAAAACAGTCCAAAAATATTTTAAAACTCTAATGTCAATACCTTACAGAATCCTTTTTTGATTGTACTGAAGTCTGGCAAAACATAATCTACCATTACAGTATTTTCCTCTCCTTTTAATCTGAAAAATAATGTAAAATACAACAGAATAAAGAACAAGTTCTTCTAAATCTCCACATTTTTATCCTGATAATACTTCCATTGACTTAATTTGAAAATTTTCTAATTAACAGCATATTTTCATTTGTTCGTACAAATTAATTATTGAGAAGTACCAAGTTTTACACTTAATAGCACTGCATACATACTTAGCAATCTCCATGTCCTTGTAAAAGTCTTGAGACACATAACACACATCTTC